CGTGCATAGTGTGTTTTTAATTAGCCTGATGCTGCACGAGCAAAGAGAGGCTCCAAGTGACCCTGGAATCCCAGAGGAGAGAAAGCCGTCTGGAATTACAGCAGGACCCTGCAACACAGAAGAAATCCACAAAGAGTGGGGGGACAGGCTGGTGCAGGAGATGCACGTATTCACCCTGCAGGAAAGCTACGACGAGTTCCGGGCGAAGGAAGAACTCATCCAGGCAAATCCCGCCTGGCACGTATCCACCTCCTGCGAGCGTCTCATGTACCTGCAGAAGGCGATCCGAAAGAAGGCGAGAGATCACTCCGTCATTCCCTGCATAACTTCCCTCATGCGAGCTGTCAAAATGTACGAGAAAGAGTCCGGGGCACGCGTGGACTGGAGTGAAATTGTCCTCCCAAAACTTCTCGGGGTGTTGGAGGAGCACAATCTGACGTGGCATTGGCAGATCCCCTTTTGCTTTGACTTTCACGATATGCGCTCCTGGGGAGTTTCTGTCGCGTACGACGTTCTCCGGAAGAGAGTCCCGTGGCACGCCGTCGTAAAGCTCATCCGCAGGAAGAACGTGCATGAAGTCCTTGCCTCCCAACTGAGCGAGACAGAGGAGGATACGGACTTGCTCATCTCCGCATGCACGCAGATAGATGAAATGCAGGGAGAGACACAGAAAAATTCAGGTTCTGTCAGGAACTTCTGCACGTTCTGCAGTAAGAAGGGGCACTCTGTGGATGCGTGCAACTCCGTGCGAAAAAGGATCCGGAAAGTCTCCACGGAGTACGCTATTTTCCAGGCGAAAAGTCCGGGGATTCGCTCGTCCTCTGGGCGTATCCTGATCTCTCCGCCTGTCTATGTAACGGTCTCTGTATGCGGGCATGCTCTGAGGGGGCGGCACAGCACGGGCTCAGACCTTAGCCTCATCGACTGGAGCGTATACAGCGACCTAACGGCAAAAACAGCTGTTCTTAAGACCAGCCCGCACGAGATCCTGATAAAGGACGCTCTGAACCGGAAAATTCCCAGCCGTTTCTACGTGGAGGGAGACGTTACCTGCGAGGGAAAAAGTGCAGGAGTGCACCGCTTCTACATCGTGGACTCTGAGGAGGGGGTTCCGACTGTCTTTGGGCTTTCCCTCCTGCAGGCATGTACACAGGCGGGGATTCCGCTGGGGGTTCCGATGGGGGTTTCTGCGAGTCGTGCACGAGATGGGACAGGCTGAAATACCTGAACTTTCCTGAACTTTCAGGTTCTGCTGGCACAAACAAAAAAGCAGATCTCTGCCACGAATAAACTGTATGGGAAGCTGTGCTTTATTTCTGTTCTACACGCTGCAATTCTTCGGGAATTTCTAGTGAAAATCACGGCCTTTATTTTTTATTGGAGTTTAAATACTTTTGTATTTAAAATATCGTTGTTTATACTGCTGCCAAACAAATATTGATTTGCCCAAGCAACAACCAAATGAGCAACTTCTTTCAGCACAGCTACACTATTTCTTCTCGTGTGCAGGGCTACTCCTTCAGCTTCTCTGTTATTGCTGTCTTCAGTGCCTCGAGCGTAATGTACTTTATGGGGGACTTAACCTCTCTCTGTATCGTGTGGAGGTCCATTCTGTCTCTCTCTCCGCCGACGAAAGTAATTGAGACGCCTGCTCTGTTGAATCTTCCTGTCCTTCCGATTCTGTGCACGTACGTCTCTATGTCGACTGCGCCTGTCTGCGTTCTTGGTATGTCGTAGTTCACTGCGAGGTTCAGCTGCGGGACGTCGAGGCCTCTGCTGAGGACGTTTGTGGTGACGAGAACCTTCACTGCGCCCTTCTTGAACTGCTCGATCACGCTGTCCCTCTGCTCCTTCGTGAGCTGTCCGTGGAGCAGCTCTGAGTCGAATCCGTCACTTTTCAGGGTCTCCTGGACGCGTGCTGCCTTCTCTCGCGTGTGTATAAATATGATCGACTGCCCGACTGTGATGAGGCCGTAGAGCTTCAGCAGGACTTCTGACTTTCTGTTCTCTGGGACGTCCATGTAGAACTGCGTGATATTATCTGGTTTTATGTTATCTGTCTGCAAATAGTGTGTTTTTATGTTTTTTGAGAGTGTTGAGATCACTGTCTTCATTTTAGCGCTGAAAGTGGCACTAAACAGCACGAGCTGCTTGTCCTTTATCTTTCTCACCACTGAAACAGTCTGTGCGCCCATGTCGTCCTGCAAAAGGGCGTCTGCCTCGTCGAGTATGACCATTTTTATGCGGGTTTCTCCCATTGTGGAAATGAGTCTTTTAAGGGTTCCTGGGGAGCCTATGAGAATCTGCTGGTCGACGTTCGGCAGGCTGTGTCGCTCAAACACTTCGGGGAGGGCGAGCAAAGACGTAAACTCCACAAAAGTGGAGAATCTCTCGAGGACAGCGTGTATCTGCTTGCTCAGGTCCCTTGTGGGCGTGACTATGATCACCTGCGGAGATTTCACGTCTTTATCTATCACCGACAAGGCTCCTGATAAAAAGGCGATCGTCTTTCCGGATCCGCTGTGGCTCTGGAAGGCTACGTCGCTTCCCGAGGCGATCTCTGGGATGGAGTTCTGCTGGATTGTGCTCGGGTTCTTAAACTCCATCGCACGGAGAGCTTTTATCACATTCTCGGGCAGATTCAAATCCTCAAATGTTTTTTTGGAGAGGAGCTCGCTGCTTAGCAGAGAGTTCTTGTACTCCTCCATGTCGCTCTCCTTCTTGAAAACCTCCATTTGCCGGAGCATTTCCAGGGCGTACTCTACGTCCTCTGGCAAGTCTGTTTTGCCCGTGTTCTCGCTTTTCTTCTCTTGGGCTGTGTCCAGCGCGTGTTGTTTGTTGTCCATTTTCTGGATCTTCTAAAAATAAATTTATTTATGTCTTAGTGCCCGGCGCGTAAGGACGTCTTGGAAAATGCTGTTTCACAGTTCCTGCTGAAACTGGAGCATGTGCGAGGGCTTCTCTTGCTGGTGCATCTGCTGAAATTTCGGGTGCTCAGACCCTGGAAATGCACATTATCCGATGCCTATCTCTCTGGATACGGGGTTTTACACGGGGGCGTGCAAACATGCGCATAGAAAGTCAGTTTAAACAGTCTCCTGCATGTTTTCAGGTGCACCTGCACACAAACCCCTTTTCCTCCTGTGCCCGCGCTGCCAAGTGCCAAAAATGCCCTGGGAAGTGCAGGAGTGTGCGCATATTCCGTGTGCTCGCGTAAAAATGCGATTTCTCCGCATTCTGGCATTGTCCAGCCTTCGGCGTGCAAAATAAAAGCATTCAAATATTTCGGGATTCTGTATGTGTTTTATTCTTGCAGGCACAAAATGTCTGCAGCATATACGACCGATGGAAACTCACGCGTAGAGTACAGCTCCCGCGCGGAATAGACAAGGCCTGTGCTACAAACCGAAGAACAAATTGGAGATATGCATGTTTTTGCATATATAATCTGCAGTATTGCGGCATATCCTTAACTCAGCGCGAGCTTTTGCGAAGAAGTATCAGAGGAAATAGATAAGCCCCACAAGGAGAAGCAGAGCAGGAAAACACAGCATTCTGCGCACCCGAATAACCCGAACTGCAAGGGATCCATGCTAAAATTTATGCTTTTCACATCTAAGCATTCGCCTCACCTTGAACGAAAATTGCTCGCCGCATCCAAAGGCAAGCACAAAGTCAACCCGCAGCCTTCAGAAAAAATTGAAACTTCCATGGCGTTAAAGTAAAGTATAATGAATTTATTGATTTATCTTCTCTCTGGTCTATGCCTTTTTCCTAGATATATTCTCCGCAATGTCTCACTTCAGGCTTACATCGTCACGAGAAACAAAGAGCGTATCAGTCCGACATACACTCCTTATCCCATGGGTTGCGGACCAACTGACTACACAGTACTTGTCCAGCACTAAGTCAGCATCTCTGCATTACAGTTTGCGTACTGTAGTAGAAAGTTGCTAAATTTTATTTACCCAAGAATGGAACTATACGCTGTACTGATTATGCTGATGATCTTCCTGCAGGCAGAGACAAGAGTCTCTCTCGAGCAGATAAAAGAGGCGAGGGATGCTGAGTTCGGAGAAGGCTCTGGGAAAGTGTGCATAAACCCTGCGGGCCCACTGAATCTTTTGCACGGCTACTTATACGCAATAAACGGCTTTATGCAAAACAAGAGGCTGTTTTCCCCGTGGGTGGATATAAACTACAGCCTAACCACAGAAGTACACCCGAGCATAGCAAGATACAACCACGTATACGAGAGAAATGAGCGTAAAGACAGGGCGTACCAGCCTCTCGACCAAAAGAGCCAAGCAGAAAAGTATTTGAGCGAGTACCACAAAAGGCTTATAATTATGTTTCCATCGTGCGACGGGGTTCTTTCGATTGAGTCCGGGTGCAAGGACTCTTTTTCAGGCTTCCTCCGGAAGGATGCAACTGGGAAGCAGGCCAGCTACATTCTGGCCTCTCTTCTTCTGTTGAGTGAAGGCGTTTCCTTAGACATCGAGTGCACGAAAGAAGAAATTTCCCTGAAAAAAGCCGATGGCACGTGCTTATTCAGCGCCGAGCCTGTGCTCATGCACCACCCTCAAGGAGCACAGGATCCCGAGACAGTCACGCAGTACAACGCAATTGACGTTATAAAGTTCTTCAAAAAGAGTAAACGCAGGAAAAGCCTTCCCTCGACTCTGGAGGAGTACAGGAGAGGGGATTTCCTGAACAGTACGCAGTTCCTCATACAAACGTACATTTTCGAGTATCTAGAGAGCACTGGCGGAATACAGGATCTAGCTGCATGCACGCACGAAATACTGCAGGACCAGATGGATGCCGTTAGAAAGGAGGCAGAACAAAATGCGGAAAATCTTGCAGAAGTTTTCAAAAGGATTTTCTGCAGTTCCCTGGGGGCGTGCAAGGACGGCTTTGAAGAAATTAAAAATATTTCGGCTCTGGAGAGAGCGAATTCTTCACTTCCATTTTCCAGCTCTGCCCCGCCCTCAGAAAACACGACGATAGAAGTCCACATAAAAACAGAGGAGACAGCGCCTTCGAAAAAAGCGAAAACATTCAGCAACTGCGTAGAGAATGCGATATACAACTTAGTGCGCTGTCTCCTATACAAAAAGAGAACGGGGATGTACTGCCTGGAGAAAATGGAGCAAGCCACGCCCGAGTTCAAGCACTTCTTCAAGCAGATCAACCGCTCTCCATTCGATCTTGTTGACCTCGAGATGCACAGAAGGTGGAACCATGTCGTCTCCAACCTAAAGCATCCGCGAATATCGTATCTCATGGATGGAAAAAACGAGCTCGGCGTGGGCATCCTGAACATGCTTTTGGTCATTGCCGAAATAACAGGGCGAATGTCCGCGGAAGAAGCTGCTATACTGAAGTTCATGGATGAAATAGAGGGAAGTCCCACTCCAGGCCCGAATTTTTTCCTGGACCTGAAAAAGTACGCGGAAAATTTTCTGTCTGAAATAGCTGCAAACACGGAGATCAGGGTAGAGTGCAAAGACCTGGAAAAGAAGGTTTTGAACGGGAGAAAAAACGACGTCATTGGGAATGTGTGCTTAGTAGACACGGCGGTGGAACCCCCCCAGGAAGTCCGCATTTCCTTCTCATTGAAGCATGCGAAAGCGGTGCTTTTAGACAGTAAACCCACCCTGACAAAAGAAGATGTTCTGAGGCTGGAGGCGTGGAAGGAGGAATTCCAAAAGAGGGCGGACTTCCTGGGGTATATGGCAGAGAAGCACGTAGACAGCATCCTCTACAGCAACTCCTGCGAGACCAGAAAATCTCTTCTAGAGGCTGTAAAAATGGCAGCGAGTACACAGGGGGAGGAAATCGACAGAATATTCGTCTCCAAGAAAATATGCGGAAATGGGTGCAAATACGCGCTTATACTCTACTCCCTGTGCTGCGCTATAAAAAGTGGGGGAGAAATTTCCTCTGCTCATCCGATCGCTTGCCTGGTCTCAAACACGCTGGGAAGCATGCGCATAGACAACCTCCGCCTGCAGAAGATGCTATTCCCCATCATAGTTTACTCGCAGGCCCATAAAAGCACACTCCCGAAGATAACAATTCCAGAGAGTGACTATGTGTTTGTGATGTCGGAGGGGTACATGCACTGCAGCATTCTGGGGCTTGTCCTGGAGACGGAATGTGCTGAAATTGTGCTAAGAATCATAGAGAAAGAGCTAAGCAAAAGCAAATCGACCGTCTTTCCGGTGCTGTCAATTTTGGGGAACGAGCATAATATGGAGCAGATATTCAATGTGTTTTTCCAGGGAGATGCGGTGGAGTACGCGGACGCGCTTAAAAACATGCTTGAAGGACATAGCGAATGGGGGAGAGTGCTCAGCAAGTACGTCAACATTCTGTGGTTTATTCTTGCGTGCAGGCTGAGGAGTGAAGACTTCTCTTTCGTTAAGATCGTATATGCGCGGATAGACGAACTTCCAAAAGAATTTTTATACTCTTTCTGGGAGGTCCTCAGAAAGAACGCAAAAGACACGATGGCCTTCATGAAGAAGAACAAGCAGAAGCTAATAGACGCCTTCAAATCCCAAAGTGCGGAAGATATCTACCCAGCGAGAGAATTCTTCCTAGAAAGAAAAAGCCAGGGATGGAAAAATTATAAGAAGCTGTACAGGTTCCTTCGAAAAAAAGACGGTGGTTCCACATGGGCGAATAGACTCCATATTTCTTGCCTTGGCGAATAAGCCTGGCTGAGACTCTGCCGGTGCCCCACAGAATAAATGCAGAGAATCCCTAGAATCCTACATGCTTTTGCTGTCGATGCCCCAGTCTCTTCGATGCACCCGTCAGTTGTTCGTGCAGGAGAAAAGAAAACGCGTAGAGATTTTTTGCAAATTCAGACACTTTTTACAAGTGCAGAGCCTTTACTCTCAAATTCAGAGAAATAGCAGAAACTATGCACTATATCACCTGTACTGCCCCTAGAATGTCTCCCTGCACGTGCTTTTGTGCTGCACACACGCGAATACTCCAGCATAATTTCGGCTGTTTTCTGTTAAAATCTAGGCTTTATATGGATTCATGCAATAGAAAAAAATGCGAGGCAGAAAATTTGCGCTGTACACGATCCCAGAAGCAAACGAGCAAGACGAGTCAAACTTTGTAGACCCAACAAATCCAAGCAAGGCAGTATTAGCGATAGAAAAAGCTGTGAGCAGAGCGAAAACAGACTTTAAAAAGCGCTTGAGTTCGTACAAAGCCGGCAAATCAAGAGCGCCCAGGACTCGAAAGAGTGTTCACACAGACCCAAGTGACCGCAAAGAGAGGGCCGGAATGCTTGATGTACTTTTGATACTTCTGGTGGCCGGCATCATCACGTTCATATACACCTTTTGCTTCGAGGATGCACTGGGAAGGAATACATCGCAGTAACCCCTGGAAAATATAGGCCAAATTCAAGAAGGGCATTGGAGCCCGCGAGAGAGCCTATACGTCAGCGCGTATTTCCCTCTTCTGTCGGGCCTGATGCAGGCCGGCAGTTTGCCGTGGGGAATAGAAGACCCGAAAAAATTCGCAGAAACTGCACGGAGTTAAAGAGCAGAAAAACAGCATTTCCACACGGAGACTCTCTGCCCAGAAAAGCCCCTGCACTTCTACTCACATGCAAAAGTCGCACGAGTGCACATCCCAAAAGCTTCACTGTGACTCTTGCATCTGCTGAAAGCATGCTGCGCACTGGGTACTCAATAGAAAGACGAATCATTGCAGCTATGGCTGAGCATAGACAAAACCCTATGAACTCCAGCACGCCAAGCGAATAAAGGACAAGATTTTACCCGCACTCCAATTGGGAAACCACACGAATTATTCTCTCCCTTTAAGAAATTACAGCCCAAATAGAAGCAGCATCAATTACGGGCAAATGTGATCTTCCACAACAAACACGCTAAATTGCAATTTGCAGAGATCACTAAGAATCTATAAATTCCAAACAAAGATTTCGCGTAAGATTGCAGATGCCAGAGCGAGTAGTTGAGAATTTAGGCCGTTCTGAGACACCCCGCACTTTCATAGAAAAGTGTGCGACCATAACAACTTTTTGGGGGAAATTGCTAGTTGTAGCTAGTGCTTTTATTTTTCTCGCAGTTTTATACGCTGCTAATATTTTGGCTTCTGCCGTTATAGAACGCATTCCTCGGAGGAGTATCCGGCTGCTCCTTTCCTGATCGTGTACTTTTGGCTGAGGCGGAGAAGCTTCCTCTCGTACACGAGAATGTCCAGGATCCTCTTCACGTCGTCCTGCGTGAGGGGAACCGACGATATCCCAGCCCGCATCAGAAAAGAGTGCGCGTCCGAGAGCTCTGGGAGTGTCTCAAAAGGGGGCAGTCCCTCAGAGGCAGTTATGCTAAGCACCCACTCGTATATCACCGTCTTAATTGCATCGACAAATCCAGTGTCCAGTTCCGCATCTTGCGTGAACCAGGGACCGTCCCCCAGGTCCTCAGAAGGCACTGCATCGTACAGCATGTATACCTTCCGGTTCTGCTTTATGGACTTAACAGACTTTATCAGAACCCGCTGCTCGAGGGTTTTCAGGAGCTTAGTAACGAGGTTTTGGTGCAGCCCACTCTTCATGCGGATGTCCTTTATCCATATCCCCTCGACCCCAGACTCCTTTACAAGCAGGTACACGATCTTCTCCTCCGTGCTGGAAAACGTCTGTGGCTCCGTGTTTCTCCGGTAGAAGATCCCAGACTTCGTTCGGAACAGGTCGATTAGAGAGTCCGCGTGCAGACGGTTTATTTCAGCTACAATTTCCTGCAGCGACATTTCCTTGAATTCATCCTGTATTTCCTGCGTGCCAACTCCAGACTCTTTTGAGGAAATAAACTCTAATACGCTGCGCATCGTAAAATTTTTATGGCAAGAGTCTCTCCCTGGTACATATATAAGTTCAAAGCGTACACGAAGGAAAGATGGGTTGGCCAGAATCTGCTCGATGTCCTGGCAGGGGAGTTCAAGCGAAGGACTCGGCTCTACTTTGAGAAGGCCGTGGAGGCAGGATCTATACTCGTGAACAACGAAAAAGTCCCAAAAGAGTACGCTCTGAGGCACGGAGACTTAATCACGCACACAACGCACAGGCACGAGCCCCCCATCCCCACGGAGAGAATTCCTGTCGTTTTCCAGGACGACCGAATAGTCGTCGTTGACAAGCCCGCGGGGATTCCCTGCCACCCGAACAGCTCGTACAACAAAAACACGCTCTCGGAAATCGTAAAAAGGCAGAGAAGTCTCGAGTACGTCTCCGTGCAAAACAGGCTGGACAAACAGACGTCCGGGGTCGTGATACTCGCAAAAACCCCGGAGGCAGCAGTTGAGTACCACAAAAAGATGGAGGAAAGGGCAGGGACGAAGATATATCTGTGCAAGGTCCAGGGAGAGTTCCCAGAGGAGGAGGTTGTAGTGAGTCTTCCCCTCGTGATATCCCGAAAGACCTGCACAACGGAGATACACGATATAGAGGGCCTGCAGGGAAAACCCAGCACTACGATCTTCAAGCGCGTGTACAGTGCGGGCGGAGAAAGTGTCCTGGCGTGCGGGCTTGTAACGGGAAGAACCCACCAAATTCGGGTGCACCTGCAGGGAATTGGGTATCCGATCGTCGATGATATGCTGTACAGGCGCCCGTATCTTCGCCCAGACGCACTTCTCGAGGAAGTTCAAGGGAAAACTCCCGAAAGAGTGCACATCCACGAGGGCGTGTACAGGGAAATGGTGAGGAAACAGGGCGTGTGCCTAACTCCAGAGTATGCGGGCAGTCTCCTGTCCGCTGGAGAGTGCAGAACTGACGACTTCGTGGACGACGTGGAACTCCTGCAGAAGATCGAAACTGCGGATGTCGGGCGATTCGTGCAGGAGTCGTGCATGCACTGCAGAAATCCAGAGACTTTGGACGTGCTCCCGAAATTTCTGACTCTTTCCCTGCACGCGTGGATATACTCCATAGGCGGAAAGACGTTTAAAACAGAATTGCCCGAGTGGTGCACTGAGGGCGTGGATGAAAGTGCGTGCATTTCCGCGATGGAGCAGGCGAAGGAGGAAGTGTCTGAACAGGTGAACAGTTCTGAACAGGTGAATAAATAGACTTTGTGTTAAATATTTGAATTAGTTGTAATACGGGAAGTAGTCATGTGAAACATTGTCCTTTATTAATTCTCGACCTGCTTATATAGACATTATTAAATCTTTCCATAAATGTCTAGTTAAATGGTCCCTTCATTTGGGCCTATTCAATGCAATAACCAATCTAGGAGTACCTATGCTTTCAGCATACAACAGAATTTATTGAATATTTTCCTGTGCACACGCTGTTTCCAGCATGCAATGGCGTTTTTAGGGCTGGTTGAAAAATTTGCAAAAATAAAAAATAAAAAGAAAATGGGAAGACAGCTCCAAAGCTTCTTTCCAGAGCGAATAAATAGACTTTGTGCTCGGGAGCGCAGGCGTGTCTTAAGAGGCCTTTATTTGTGCCGACTCGTGCAGAGCTGGGATTTGGCCTTCTGTATATCAAAGGGCGCCATCATTTTGATCTTCCCGGGCAGACAGGCTTGAAACACTCCTGTCTGGTAGGCGCCTGAACATGGTGTCAACCGCCATGGGAAACCCCATTACTAGATGGACTTTTTTCTTGCAGAATGGGCAGCAGGGATTCTTCTTTTTGGAGAAGGCTTCCCCAATGCAGTTTATGTGCGAGACACTCCCGCACGGCATGATCACAGCGGACTTTTTCGGTTCGTGATAGAAAGGAACTTTGCATATCAAGCACTCGGAAAAGAGGGAAAGTCCGTACATGCTGCACCACTCGTGGATAATGCTTTCAGCTATTATAAATACAATGCCCGTATTCAGGGCAACCGCCAGAGGCTTTTTGAAAATGTACGTTTTCTGCTCCACGATGTACGAAGAGCCAGAGGGGCAGTAGAACTTCCCGTATGTTATTTGGACCAGATTCATGTGCACGTTGAGAAAAACAAAGTCTTCTCGGGTGAGGCTGTTGTTCTTCACTGTCAGCTCGCACAGGGCAGGAAACATGCAGGGCTTTACAATCTCTGTGATGCTCCTGCGGGGTTTTCCCTTGTACGTGCTGCAGGACGGAAACTCTAAACTCAGCTTTTTTATCCCGTAGAAGACGATGCTTTGCATCCCCACAACGACAGAGTTCTGGAAGAGGGAGACGATGTGGATGTCCTCCAGGCGCAAGAAAATGCTGTCTTTTCTTTTGAAGGCTGCCCGCAGGAAGTCTTCTACTCCTGCGCCAGGCACTCCGTCTGAGAGAGACTCCTTCAGAGTAAGAGACTTTATTTTCAGACTTTTCACCATCGTCCCAATGATCTTCTCGTTCAGCGGAATCCCCGGGTGCAGCGAGAGAGAAACCATGTCCTGCGCCACGAAGGACTTGAAAAAGCTCCCCAGAAGGTTGGAAACCATGCTCATATTTCGGGAGACAAACTTTATCTCGCACTTCACTATCTCGAGGTTGAAGATGTAGCAAAGTGCATTCCACGAGCTCAGGCTCACGGGAGAGTGCGTTTCCCCGACCTCAATGTGCAAGTGCGTCATGCGAATGTATATGTACGGTATAAACTGCGCGAGTTCCTGCAAAATCACGTCTATGTACGCGCTTATGCTTTTCTCTGTCTTCCCGGGGGTGCAGGAGATGCGCGGCTTGATGACGAAAGTCCCCGCTAAGAGTGGGTGTGCAGGATCGACGTAGCAGCAGGCAGGGCTCAGGAGGTTCATCCCCCACGCGCGAATCTCGTTTTGGAGGATCTTCCCGAGGAAACAGACGCGTTTTCCGTACGATATTTCCAGAGACTTTCTGTTTTGCTCTATCGTGTGCAGAGCCCGGAGCATGCTAACGACCAGATAGTCGCCCTTCTTGGCTGCAAACTCTACGACGTACTTGAGCATCTTTATAACGGGCTCCAGGGAGACCTGCATATTTATGATGCCAACAACTTGCTTCTCCATTCGCTTCAAGTCGATCATCGTATTTGCAAGTTCTTCGGAGATTTCCCCTGGGAGGCACTTCATTACGTCGAGGAGCATGTCCAGAACTTCGCTGCAGATGTACCCGAGCTGCTTTTCTCCGGGCTTCCTGTTTTGCAGGATGAAAAGAATGTCCTGGCACGCGGTCAGGCACTTCTTCAGGACCCACGGCTCTTCCGACGCCGTCTGCGTGAAGCTGTGCGCTGAAAACTCCTTCAGAAAGACGCAGAGCAGGTAGAGAAAGTTTGAGTATCTTTTCCCCAGCATCTCCTCGTAGATCTCGTACGCTTTCTGGCAGGACGAGTGAAAAGTCCCTGGGCTGCGCTCCCTCTCCCCGTGCCGAAGCATCTCAGCCGAAGAGGCCCCAGGGAAGGCTATCTCCTCAGTGGCCAGCAGAAGAAGGACCATGTCCGTGTGCAAAACACCTTTTTCAGATATCACCGCAAAACAAACATCTTCAAACCGCATTTCATTTGACCGTATTTTCTCCTTAATATTTTGAAATTTCTCCCTATCGGCCATTCTACGAATTTTTATTTTTTTATTTTACTTTTATGCAGATGATTCGTATATAAAGTGTAATTTTTTGCCTGCCATGAAAGAGTACACGGAAGAAAGAATCAGCGAACTTTCCAGGGCAATCGAGCCCCTGCGAAGTTTTTCCCTGAGACACCACAAAAGGCCTCTTAAAACAGTGAAATTCAACCCGGACGGCGATTTGCTCTTCTCCTCCTGCGCGGAGGGGGCTCTTGTCGCGTGGAGGGTCTCAAACGGCGAGAAGCTGAGCCTGTACGAGGGCCACACGGGAGCAATAATGGGCTTCGACATAAACAAGGAAGGGACTCTCCTCGTCTCCGCAGGGGCTGACAGCGTCTCAAACGTGTACGACATTGAAACTGCAAAAAGAATCCACTCTTTCGACACTGTCGTCAAGACCCGAGACGTCGCATTCACTGCAGACAGTCGGAGAGTCGTCCTGTGCACGGACTCTGTCATAGGGGAGAAGCCCAAAATGTGGGTCTTCGACGCTGTCAGCGGGGAGATGATCCGGCAGGTGGTCACTCCAACGATGCCGCTTGCGATCAGAACGACCCTCGACAACAGGATAGTATACGGGGACACGGAGGGAAATGTTGCCCTGATAGACGAAAGGACTTTCCAGGAGGTTTCCTCAAAGAAAGTTCACCAGGCAAAAATCACCTCCCTCGCGCCCTCCTTCTGCAACACGTACTTTGTCACTGCATCGAGCGACTTCAAGAGCAAGATCATCCGGACGGACAGGAACGAAGTCTCTTTCGTGCGGGAGTTCCTCTCAGACTCCCCGAACAACACGGCCAGAGTCTTCCCAGACAACAGAATCCTCGTCTCTGCAGGAGGAGTAGACGCCAGATACGTCACAACGTCGACAGGACAGGGAAACTTCAACATAGAATTCTTCGACTGCGCGACCTCCAAGCTGATAGGGTACTACAAAACACACTTTGGAACAGTAAACACCCTCGACGTGCACCCCACAGGGCAGGCAATGGCCTCCGGGGGAGAGGACGGAGTCCTGCACTTGGTGAAGATGGACGACCCAGCCTTTATAAACGCGCCTTTCGTGCCTGTTGAGGGGGGAGAGGTTTAGGAGAGCGCCCAGAGTGTAGTAACTAGTTAGATTTATTCCCCCAGGGCGTACTCGCAAGATTTAGCAGAATGCAGAAAGTAAGAAGTGTTTTGCAGGTAGGCGCGGGAGCAGGATTTTAAGATGTAATGTTGTGGTACTTGGCACGCACTTCTATGAAGAGGGCGCTTCCTTGAGCACAGTAATGTTCCTCCATCTGGCGGACGTTGCAATGAAGAAGTCCGTGGCGAAAGAGGGTTTTTTGAATCCTGGGGTGAAAAAAAAGAGAAAATAAATAGAAAGGCCACGAATAAATATACGCAAATTTTTACAAAGCGAAATGAGAATACAGAAATGCTATTTCTGCTCGGGCAATATCTACCCGGGGCATGGATCTATGTTCGTGCGAAATGACGGGGCTGAGTTCAGGTTCTGCCGGTCGAAGTGCGTCAAGAACTTTAAGCTGAAGAGAAACCCCAGGAAGGTCGCATGGACGAAAACGTACCGGAAAGTGCGCGGGAAGGACCTGGTCAACGACACCTCCCAGGAGTTTGAAAAGCGGGTGCACGAGCCCATTATATACAACAAGGAGGTTTACGCGAAGGTTGTCGAAAGCATGCCAAAGATCGCAGAAATACGGCACTCCCGAGAGGCCTTCCACATAAAGAACAGGCTGCTCACGGGGAGAGAGAAGCTTGTGGACAGCGAGCGAGTCTTCATAGTGAAGAACTTGGACGCCCTCACAGAAGACGAGAGAATGCGGGAAAACCTGGAGAGAAAGAGAAGAGTGCGGGAGGCGCTGAAGCTGCCTTTCGAGTAGAGAGAAACAATAAATTTTATTCGCGTGCTCGGGTGAAATTTCTAAATGGGCGCTGGATATAGGGGAAGTACTTATAGAGAATGCAATTTTATTTTAATGAAAAGTTTTGCAAGCTGCTGTACTGTTCTTGGAGGGTTTATACTTAGTTTTGGGCTGCTTTCTCTCTTCATCAAGGAGAAACTGTATATAGCAGAAACCACGGTTGCAACTCTGTATGGAATTATATGCCGGTACGTTTTGGAGCAGAAGGGGGACACCGAGCTCTTGGAAAATCTGCAAAACCCGCAGTTTTTGTTCCACTTCTCGCACATCGTCCTCTCCCTGCAGCTGGTGGCTGTGGGTGTGACGGTTCCCCGCATCTTCATAAAGAAGAACTGGAGGCCCCTTGCAGTTCTGCTGCTTCCCGTCATGCTTATCATGTACGCATTCTCCAGCATAATAGTGAAATACGCGCTGGACTTGGAGTGGCTCCCGGCAATGATCATTGGAGCATGCATTACCCCTACAGATCCTGTTCTGGCAAGTGCCGTCATCAAGGGGAAGTTCGCGAATAAGTACATCCCCTCCCGGCTGCGGTACCTTCTTGCCGTGGAGAGCGGGGCAAATGACGGGCTCGGATTCCCCCTCCTCGTTCTCCCGATCCTCCTCATGAAGAGCGCGAAAAGAAGCGACCAGATCGCATACACCGCGAAGAAGTGGATTTTTGAGACGTGGGGCTTTGAAATACTCTTTGCAATTGTCCTGGGGGCAGGGATAGGCGCAGCTGCGCGCATCCTGCTTAAGTACAGCGTAAAAAAGATGCTCATCGATAAGGAAAGCTTTTTGGCGTACTCCCTCGCACTCGCCATCCTCGTGACGGGCGTGACCGCGTTTATACAGAGTGACGACTTGCTCGCAGTTTTTGCGTCCGGCCTTGTCTTCTCGTGGGACGAGGAAATGGTTAGGGACATGAAAAACTCGCACGTTATGGAGGTCGTCGACTTGATTTTCAACCAGTCGTTCTTCATCGTGCTCGGGCTGATCCTTCCGCTCGATGCGTTCAGCCTGCGCATGATGGCAGGCGCGGTGCTGATCCTGCTCTTTAGGAGAGTCCCAGCCCTGCTTCTTATGAAGAAGTTCGGCCTTTTCCCAGGGCTTAGCACGCGGGAAATCCTCTTCGCAGGATGGTTTGGCCCGATCGGAGTCGGAGCCATTTTCTTCGCACACCACGCAGCACACGAACTGGATGGCACCGCACACGCAGAGACAATTCTGAAGACAGTTCAGGGGATCGTCTTCTCGAGCATTCTTGTGCACGGGACAACTGCGCCGATTATTCACATGCACCTACGCAGGAAGCACCGGAAAACAAGAAAGACACTAGAGAGCATGTACGAGTCAGACACTGAGGTGGAGAGAGAAGCAGATATGCAAAACCTGCAGGAAATTATAGGATGACGCTTTCTTGCAAAATAAATCACATGTTGTAGCACTGCCAGACTTTATTTTTCTTATTAGAATCTGTACTCCTCTCGAGACATGCCCTTGCACTTGATGCTCGTGCTTGGCTGGACTTCGACCGTGTAGAGCTTGTTCAGAATGTCGGCCCCAGCTTCCTCTAATTTCGCACTTTCCGTGTGCTCCGGCTGCATGAAGCACGGGAGAACGTCAACTTCCTCCAGGCCCGGCATGTCGAGAGACTCTTCGAGTGTCACGTGCTCTGTGGGGTTCGTGACTCGCCTGCTGTGCGGAACCACGCGGTGAAAACTCAGCAACATTCGCAGTAAATAAAAATGCACGTAAATAAAGCCCGATCAAAATGCGGAAGAGCCCGTGGTTGCACGCCCTTTCAAAAAACAAGGCGGAAAACAAAAAACAAGGCGGAAATAGTCTTTGTCGTTTATTTCATGGTGTCCTTCAGGAGATAGTTTCCGTGCACAGGAAGGCTCAGGCCTATTCGGTACAGCTTGTTCTTCGAGGCGTGAAAGATCGAAAGATACGCCTGCGAGACGTAGAAGTGCATGTAGAGCGCATACAGGAGGCCAGACACGGCCAGAACGAGGGCGAGCCCAACTGCGTACCTCCACGCGAACTTTGAGAGGGCCTGGTCCTGCACGAGGTGCACTGCCTTTCTGGTTTTATCCAGGGAGATGCACGAGTGATATACGAGAGCGCACAGAAGACCTCCAGCGTACAGAATGCTTCCTATGTGGTACCGGTATATAACCCCAAAGAACTCTGCGTCTTTCATCGGCGTGTATAGAAGTGCGCCCGTGCAGACTACCAGAATGTACGCAGTCAGAAGCAGAGCTGCTGCCTTCGCGTACCGGTACTTTACTGCCTCCTTCACAAAAGACCGGTTGAACATCGACATGAAGAGGAAGAAGAGCACGGCAATGTGGACGGAGGATGAAAATCCCCGGAAAGCAAGGAGGAAAAGAGCGTTCAGGCTGCCCTCCATCTTCGCGTAGTGCCTCGCCTTCATGAGGCTTTCCGAGGACGGGACGAGCGCAAATGTTTCCAGGGCCATGACAGAAGCCCCCCCAAGAACGGCGAGTGCAGCCATCCCCACCAGGAGCGCACTCTGGAGGATGTACCTGTTTCTGTTCATGGAGTTTTTCATGAGGTTGTAAAGACATGCATTTTCCCTCTTGTGGGTGCGTGCATCAGAAAGCTGTTTTGCACTTTTCCCGAGAATCATGCTCCCAACGGTGATGTTGAACAGCATGTGCATGTAGTACTCGAATGCGTCCATCCTCACGCGAGACGAGCTGTTGGAGAAGCACCCCAGCGCAGAGAAGAAGAAGTGCGTGAGCAGCACCAGGGAAATAGTCAGCGGGAGGTAGAAGTTGTCCAGGTCGCGGACTCTGTGGATTTTCTGGAGGGTGCTCGAGAAGAACTTCTCAGAGTCCCACGCCATGGAGAAGAGGCAGGCCTGTATGTACGCAGGCACTTTGTCTCCCCCAGAGTCTGCGCATATTGTTTTGTCCACGAAGGAGCTTCTCTGCATTGTCTGCCCGTAGAGCATAAAGTCGGACGAGCACCTGGACGGATTTCGCCTGTCTTCGTGCGCAATTGCAGCCTCGTCAACTTGGGCCTTTATCCCTGCTATGGCAATTCCCTGCAGTGCAGCATTCGCTGGGTACGCCTTTTGCCTTCTCGCAACTTCCTTCAGCCGTGCCTCAACGAGCTGGAAGTGTCTGAACAGGTAGTTGAATGCCCGCAGGAAGGTGAGCGGCTGGATTTCAACCCCCAGGTAAACCATGTACCGGTGCATCCCCGCCATTGCCTGGTGCAGGGCTTCAATTTTCCCTGCCAGGAAAGCAACTTCCTCCTCGTCGGTGGATGCACCAACCAGATGCGGGTCTTCGCTGTACCTCTCTATGTCCTTAACGACAAGGCCTGACATCGTTACGAAAAAAAGCAGGCGCCCGTCGCTTGGGCTCAGCCTCCCTGGGTACACGGTGTAAAGAGCTACTTTCTCGTTTATGAGGCAGTCCGTGTAGAAAGGCCCGAAGGAAATCCCCTGCCGGTGCAACTCTTTGTGCAACGGGCTGAAAATGTACCCGTCTGAAAGAATGACTTCTTTGTCGTGCAGGCTGTAAGAGACAAATTCTGCCTCCTGGCTCTCCCTGGGGGCTGGGGAGGTATTTTTCTTCTTTCTTGTCTCCCAGGGGATTCCAATTGAATTTTCCATCTCTGCCTGGGCAGATTCAGCGCAGACTTCTCTCATGCGCAAAAGCACGGAGGAATGTGCAGGCTCCTCGCTTGTCTGTGCTGCATTCAAGCTTGAAGCGAACTCTTGCTCTTCATCCTCAATGCTCTCTACAAGGACTGAAGAGTCTTCACTTCTGCTTTTGACCATACCGAACTTTCTCGTTAGGCAATATATGGGGTCAGAATATGATGTGATTGCGCTCTCTTGTTTAGAAGTGGGCGTCATACGCCATTTCATTGCGAAATCACACGCCAACTTTCAGCGGTGGAACTTTCTCATCCGCATGACACTGCATGACAAGAGGATAATAATAAGAGGATGGTAAGTAAGCCATGGTATAATAAGAGGATAGTAATAAGAGGATAGTTAAAAGGATGTTATGACAAGAGAATATTGATAAAAGGATGGTATAATAAGAGAATATTAATAAAAGGATGGTATAATAAGAGGATAGTAATAAGAGGATAGTAATAAGAGGATGGTAATAAAAGGATGGTATAATAAGAGGATATTAATAAAAGGATAGTAATAAGAGGATAGTATAATAAAAGAATGAATAGTAACAGGAGGATGGCGTGGCAAAAATTAAGCCGTTCATGTGCGTAAAGCATGGCCTTCCTTCTCTTGCCCTGCAAACACTCTGAATTCTTCTGGGGTTGACCCTCTTCTTGCGCAGCACTTCGCCCGTCAACTCTTTTCTCTTTGCAGTGCCAGAGGCCGGAAAACGTCAAGTGCTTGTTTGGCTTGTGTGATATTTATTTCCTTTGCTTTGCGCACTGTCTTTCTATCCGTAAAATGCATGCACAGGCCGCTACTTCTTGATTCCGAATAGAATGTTGTTTATCGGGATGTGAATAAAGGTGATTATGTACCCAAGGAATCCAAGCATAAGCACGCCCTTCGCATGCGCTGCAAGCATCTGCATATACATCGCCTTGTTTGGCTTCTTAGACCTCTTCAGAAACAGTTTGACGTGGAAAAGCTCCTTTCGGCAGTGCTCAAACTTTCGCATCAGAACATCTATCTTGGAGGGCCTGTTCTCCTCCTTCCTCTGTGCAGCCTGCCTTTTTATAATTTCAGATCTTCTCTTGTTTTCTGTGGCCATAATTAAATAAAAAATTCAGACACTTTATTTATATCTTATTGCGCTTCTTTGTGCTAAAGAAGCCTTTAATTGACTGAAGTCTCCAGTAGCTTAGGAAAACGTACAGAACTGGGAAAATGCAAACAACCCAAAGCGTGTTTTTGGCCGATTTGACCCTCACAAGGCTTGTCGTGTTTGCATTTTTCAGCTTCAAAATGTCGTTGTATATGTTCATCAGGTCCACCCGCACCTTGTCCAGCAGCTTCCTCAGCACCTCCGCCTCGTCTGTGTCCTCGTGCGCCTTATCCACGTATATTGACACGCTTATGTTCGCGTATTCGTCGCTGTCGTTCACGATCCGCACCTCAAACTCCCCAGCCTCTCGCGACTCGATGTTCTTCTGGTGCGTGCTCACGAGCTCGCTTGCAGCAGAGAGCCGATCCTTCATCCCCGACATAATCTGCACCCCCGAGCCCTCAATTATCGTGGCGTCAAGCTTTATGCCCATTCCTGCCTGCGGAACAATCTCAGACATAACAGAAACAGACCGCGGCCTGATTATCTTCTGGATGGCAATTCCCTGGGCCAGCCCCAGGAGCAAACACGCGAGTATTACAGCCTTCATAAAACAAAGAAAAAAACATCGGTATAATAATGAGAAATATGGGCGAATATTGAAAAAGAAAGGCCTGCGGGCAGGACAGGCGAGGGCAGAGAGAAAATAAAAAGAAGAAATTCTGGCAGCGTTTTAATTCCGCATAGAAATAGCGAGTGGAAAAAATATTTTATAAATGGCTGCGAAGAAGGCGAGTCTTTTCTCTGTTATTCTGTTTAGGAAGCACGAAAGCGGAGTCCGCGTGTTTTTGGAGGAGTACTCTCTGGGGTCGTTCAATTTCTTCAAGAGAACGCCCATCCAGGAGATGATTGCCTTTATTTCGAACCGGATCGTGCAAAACACGGAGACAGAGAAGACGCAGGAGTTTGTGCACAAGGAGGGGGAGGGCGACAGCTACAAGTTCTTTGTGAAGGAGAAAAGGGGGTACGTATATGTGATTTCGTGCCTCATCGAGTACCCGAATGCCACGCTCTGCCTGCTCATAGACGACATCGAGAAGCACATGCAGGAGACGGGTGCGGGGGCTGCGGAGGAGCAGGAGATACTCCCGGGGGGAAAGCCTGCAGAGAAAAAGAAGGAAAACACGTCCGGGCTGAAGTCTTTTGTGAAGCAGCAAATGAAGGAGTACCAGAACTACGAGGAAAAAGACGTGATGATGCAGATCCAGAGCGAGCTGGACGACGTGCACGACCTTCTGTCGAAGACGGTGGAAAGTGCGATAGGGCGCGGGCAGAAGCTGCACGATCTGATAAATTCGGCGGAGCAGCTCTCGTTTCAGACAAAGAGCCTCTACAGGCTGAGCAAGAAGCAGAACCAGAAGTGCTGCGGGTTAATGTGAATAAATAGCGCCTGCGGTGTTTTTTTTATGAGCACGCATTCGGTTCTTCTGCGCGTGCTGGAGGCTTTTCGGAAGGGAAGAAAGGCAAGAGTCGTGGAGATTGCTGAGTCTTTGCAGATCACGAAAAAGGAGTGCGTAGACTCCCTCTATCTTCTTGAGAGCCAGCTGGAGGAGATTGGGTACTCGCTCAGGCCGGGCACCTCCTCGCGCGTGGACAGAGAGGGGAAAAGCCTCCCAAGCGAGTCCACGGGGATAGAGTACACGCACTTGGCAGAGTCCTTCAAGAAGTGCGACTTTGTTTTCCTGGTGAAGAAGTTCGAGTGCTCTGAGGACGCGAACAGATTTGTGAATGAGAATGTGGCAGTCATCGTCTATGCGTACATGGTGCTATATCTGAACGGGAGCGAGACAGAGTACAGCCGCGTGGAGGAGGCACTCCGCCAAATAGGAAAGTGCCCGGAAATTCTGAAGGAAATCGTCGGAAGAAAGTACTTCTACAAAAGAAAGAGAAACGACGGGCACTTCCTCCGGCCAGGATGGAGGTTCTTCTTGGAGTTTCCCGAGTTCTCCCCGCAGGAGTACCTGGCCGCGCTTCGGGCATCGGCGGCACCGCAATAAAGGACACACGCTGTTTTGCACTTGTCTCTCGCTGTTTTTCTGCTCCCCGGGTGTGAAGAGAAAAGCGTCTTCCAGGGGATATTTTCGGCGTGCGGATAAAAATTGCACGTTTTTCCAAAGTGCAAAAGCAGGCGCTGGCTGGCCCTATTTGTGCTGAAATTCGGATATTGCTTTATCTTTGTCTTTATTACTACTTCATAGTGCTGCTCCCTTCTGGGCTGCAATGTCCTCAGCCACTTTCTGCAGAACTGCGTCTGTAGGCATGTGGTGAGTGCTTCTGCCCTTTGCTCGCTCCTCCACCATTGTTCGCATGGCCAGCCCGTATGCGTCTGTCACGTCTTCTGCGTAGCAGTCAATTCGGCTGGCGATCGCACACTTCGCGCTGAGGTATCTGCTCACTCGCCCGCGCATGCGAGGCACTGCTGCGCCCACAAACGAGGAGTGGAAGATTAGCCCGTACTTTGGCGTCTGCGCCTTGCTCTTCATGGCCCGGAAAAGTGCCTTCTCTGCGCCCAGGACCTGGATTGTAGAGGCCGGGCACAGCGCCAGCTTGCTCAGCCCTCCTGCCTTGAGTATCAGCCGTGCAGCCACGACCTTTCCGACCAAAGCCGTCAGGTTCGGCGCCACTGTCTCCAGCCGTTTCTCCAGGTGCTCCATCGCGTGGGCGTAAAGCGCCATCTTTTCCTCAACAACAGAGGACAGCTCTGCAATCACCTGCAGGTCCTCCTGGCCGATCTCTCCGCCGATCGTATTGTGCATTGCCTTCGCAATTTCCTCTCCGTTGCTCAGCTGCGCAACCTCGTTCTGCGACGCAGTCTCCCTGTCCCCGATCACGCGGATAGCCTGCAGATACTCCGCCTGCCCCGTGCAAAGCTCGGACAGCTCTGGGAAGTGCCACGCATATACCTCGCGGATGCGCATAAAGTAGTCGTTTATGTCCACAGACGTGTCGTCCAGCATGGAAATGCACTGCATCACCGCATGGTCTTCTCTTGCAGCGTCGTACTGGACCTTCTTTCTGGAAAGAGCGTGTGCCAGGCTGATCTGTGACTTTCCCACTTTCTGCGTGTCCACACCGAAAATAGCGTCGGCGTGCTTTCTTACTGCGCGCATCAGCTCGTGCGTGCTTTCTTCGTTGTACATCTTTATGCCCAGATCCTTTATGGCAAGAGAGTACGCCTTGTCTGCGGCCAAAACAGACACTCCGTTGATGTGCAGGAACTCCTGCAGCTTTGGCGAGATCTTTCCCTCGGAGGCCGCCTCAATTTGCTCAAGCGCGTCCTGCGGGTCTGCATGCACAAGAGTTCCCGAAATTTGGAACACCTTCTTGAAATCTCCAAGTGTTTTCACACTCGCAAGAGTAGCTTTGGTGCTGACTGTGTCCAGTTCTTTTGCTTCAACCAGTAAGTATCCCACCGGGTGCTCGTATAGAATATGTACCATAAAAATTGCAAGGCTGAAAATATTTCGGATATTTAATATTTTACTCTGAAAATGCTGCATCCGGCCCGGAAGGCCAACGGCCAGCCAAAAACCCCGGAAAAACTCAAACCGCAGAAACACTGCAGACGTGCATATGTCCGCCCCCAAGGCCTGCCCCACCTGCAAACCTGACTTTCACGGGGTTTTGGCGTCTATTCTGGAAAAATCCATAGCATATCAGGCCAGTTTTAAGCGGAAGATCCAATGCAGATGCACACAATCGATCAATCAGCACGGTTATTGTGCTGAATTTTTGGAACTCCCACAAAATTGGAGAGGGCACGACCATCACTTGATTGAATTTCACACGATCTGAAACATGAAATTGATTAGTGATCGCTAAAAGCATAAATACGCGATACGATGTTAATTTCAGGAAGAAGAGGCAAGAAAGTCGAAGACTCAAAAATCAAGTCAAGCACAGGTCGACTGCCGGGACTCTCCACAGATTAATAAATCTTTAGTGGAGCTTGTATTAGACCATATTCATAATGAAACCCGGATTTACGGCAGTTATATACGCTATTTGCAGCCCAAAGCACGCTTTTCTGCATGTGCTCCAGAGAGCCCAGAAATGACTTTTCCGCAGGTGTTTGGTGCGCCTGCAAACATACTAGCAAATCAGCCCGGGAGAAGCCCCAGCAGAAAAGCTCCCAAAAATTAGCTGGAATCAAGGCCAAACAGGGCCGAAAAACTGCGCCCGCGGTTTAAATGTACCATGCCGCACACAAAGTCTGCAGTAGCGCATGCGTCTTTTCTTGCAAGAAATACGAGCACTCGCACATCCCAGAGAGCCCAACGCCCAGCAAGTTTTATTTTTATTTTTAGTTTAAATATAGAGGCAATGAAAATTCTTTACTAACGATGAAGGAAAAGGGGGAAAATTTCTACAGAACAAAAGAAAAACTGGCCCACTGGAAAATGCTTCGGGGAGGAAAGCCTGTGCGAGACTCGGCAGGAAACATCATAAAGCACGCGCAGTTTCAAAATCCTGTGGCAGAGCCCGGGAGAGTGCAGCACACGCGCGCGTGGTTTGCATCCACCCGAACCACCGACCAGCGAGAGCTCGAGGCCTTCAGAAAAGATCTTCAGGAGAGTGCGACCGACGCGTATAAGGTGATCCTCGACCAAGGAAAAGTCCCGATGAGTCTCATCCAGGAGAGCGCGGAGAAGAAAGTCCGCCCGATCATTTCGTACGAGAGCACGTTTGGGAGAAAGTCAACCCGAAAGCGAGTGAAGCTCTCTGTCTCCACCGTGGCGGAGCTTGCCAAGACGGCGAGTGTCCGCGCAGGGGAGCACACGGAAGAGTCCAGCGAGAAGGACATGTGCGTGGCAAAGGAGAGGATATACATGAAGGGGCAGAGCAGGAGAATATGGGCCGAGCTGTACAAGGTGCTGGACTCCAGCGACGTGATTGTGCACATTTTGGACGCCAGAGACCCGCTGGGAACAGAGTGCTTAAACGTCCGGAAGTACATAAACGAGCACAAGCACAAGCACCTGATATACCTGCTGAACAAGGTGGACCTGCTTCCCACGGGAGTGACTGCAAAGTGGCTGGCGCACCTCTCCAAGAAAACCCCCACGCTCGCATACCACGCCGCGTCAATAGACAGGAACTACGGAAAGCAGAGTCTGACAAACCTGCTGCGGCAGTTTGCAAAGCTGCACCCGGAGAAGAAGCAAATAAGCGTGGGCTTCGTGGGGTACCCAAATGTAGGAAAGAGCAGCATCATAAACACGCTGAAGTCTAAGATTGTGTGCACAGTCGCGCCAATCCCCGGGCAGACCAAGGTGTGGCAGTACATCTCCCTTATGAAGAGAATATACTTGATCGACTGCCCGGGAGTGGTGCCGCCCGTGGACGCAGACGAAACAGAAGTCGTGCTCAAAGGCGTGGTGCGCGTGGAAAATGTCACGGCGCCAGAAGACCACGTAGAGGGCGTCCTCAAGAAGGCAGACCCGAAGCACATTGAGAATGTATACGGAATAAAGCCAACAGGGAACCACGTGGCGTTTTTGGAGGCACTCGCAAAGAAAACGGGGAAGCTGCTCAAGGGGGGAGTCCCAGACATAACAGCAGTCTCGAAAATAGTCCTGCACGACTGGTTGCGTGGGCGGATACCGTACTACACGCTTCCACCAGAAGGCGAGGGCGAGAAGGCGTCGGACAAGGGCGAAAGGAGGAAGACATAGAGGGCGGAAGACCAGAGAAGTCGCCGTTCCCGCGGTGCTTGCTTCAGAAGGCTGCCGCACCAGAGATAACTCGTGAGAGCGTGCTGTCATAAATAAATACACAGCATAGTAGAAGGCGGAGAGGAGAATGCAGGCGTGCGAGGGAGAGGGCGTGGATTTTCACAATTTTGCGGCCTGATTTGTTCTTATTGAATACTTAATAAAGCATAAGAATATTTCGGGCCACGAAATATTTTTTATATGAAGCAAAAAGAAGAGAAAGCAGGGAGTGTTTTCAATGGAGATGTTGAGACAGCCAGAAACCCCACGGCGGAAGGAAAGAAGAAAAAGCTGCAGGCCCGCAACAAAGACAAACCAGCAAGCAAAAAGCAGGGGGAAATAATAAAAATAAGAGAAAAGATAGACACGCTCTTGGAAAAGATAGAGCAGTTCGAGAAAACAGGAAGCGCCGAGGACGTGCAGGCTGTCTCCGCGCAGAAGGAAGGCGCAAAGCGTGCAGATCCAGTGGCTGCTGAGGCGCCTTTGCCCAAGCAGGAGAGCTTCTCCCCGAAAGAGCCCGCACAAAAAAGAAGCAAGGACGTGCGCCCCTCCGAAAACGACAGCTCCAGAAGCTGGGAAAGCCTCAACTTGAAAAGAGAGGTTATTATGGGCATCCAGAAAAAGGGGTTTGTGTGGGCGTCTCCGATACAGGCAGCCACTATCCCGCATTCTCTTCGGGGGAGAAACATTGTTGCGCGTGCTAAGAATGGCACAGGAAAAACAGCCGCGTTTACAATTCCGCTGCTGAGTAAAATAAACCCAGGAAAAGTTGTGATTCAGGCGCTCATCCTTGTGCCCACGCGAGAGCTTGTCCTGCAAACGGCGAAGGTCTGCAGGGAGCTGGGGGAGTTTTTGCGCCTCAAAATCCTCCCGCTCTACGGCGGAGTCAGCGCAAAGGACGACATTATCCGGCTGAAGGGGGGCGCGCACGTAATTATAGGGACCCCCGGGCGCGTTCTGGACTTTCTCTCACAGAAGGCCATTGTCTTGGATAAGTGCATGCACCTTGTTTGCGACGAGGCAGACAAGCTTCTCAGCGTGGAGTTCCAGGAGGTGCTGTACGAGATCACAGACATGTTCCCGGAGAAGCGGCAGATTGAAATGTACTCCGCCACGTTTCCTGCGATGATACAGCACTACATTGACAGGTACATGCCGGACGTTGTCAAAATAAACCTTATGAAGGAGCTGACGCTGGCAGGAGTGAAGCAGTACTACGCGTACGTGAAGCCGGCAGACAAGCTGCACTGCCTGAAAACTCTTCTCACGTGCTTGGACATAAACCAGTGCTTCATTTTCTGCAACTCGATACAGACCGTGGAGAAGCTTGCAATGAAGATCACGGAGCTCGGCTTCACCTCGTACTACATACACAGCAAAATGCGACAGGAGGACCGAAACCGCGTCTTCCACAACTTCACCTCGAACCAGGAGTGCCGGATACTCGTGTCTACAGACCTGGTGACGCGCGGAATAGACGTCCCCAGCGTGAACGTCGTGATAAACTTCGACCTCCCGCAGAGCACCGAAAGCTACCTGCACAGAATTGGAAGAAGTGGGCGATTCGGCACCGAGGGCATTGCCATAAACATGATCACGCCCGAGAACACCTTCAAGATGCGAGAAATTGAGGGAGACCTGGAGATTGAAATGCTCCCCTTTTCCAACAAAAAGCACGAAGAATCCACAGCGTAAATAAAAACCCATTTTGTACTTCAGTGAATGCTTGCCCCGCGCCTGCACTGGCTTGCTGCGGAAAACGAGAAACCAAAAACTTGCTGCGCTGCTTAGTTGTAAAGGGTATTTATTATAAGACACGTCTACAGATCCATCTTAATCTCTTCTGGTATCTTGACTTCTGGCTCGCGCTTCTGCGGAGCTTCTTCAGTCTCGGCCCCCTCCAGAGTTAAGCCCTCTGGAAGGTCTGTGTGCATCTTCAGGAACTCCAGGATGCCCTCTGCATCTGCTGGCTTGTTCTTAATCTCCATCTCCACCTCCTTGTTCGTGCCCTTCTTGTATATTCTTATCGTTGGGTATGCCTGGATTGCCTCTAGCTCGCTGTTCAAAGGCATGTCGTTTCTCGACATAAGCATTTTCCCTATCACCACGTCGCTTGAGATCCTCTTCAAGGCGGAAGCCACCTTGTCCAGGCCTGGCATCAGGTTTTGGCAGAACCTGCACCACTCTGCATAGTACACAATCAGCGTGTCCACCTCTGCATTCAGCGCAATCTCCTCGAAAGACTTGGAAACCACCTTCAAGACCCCCGCCGGGTTTGCCTTCTCGGCCTCCCCTGGCAGCTCCTCAGACATCACAAACGGCACAAGCTCCTCCTTGTTTCGCGCGCACTTTGTGAGGAAGTTCACTGTTTCCTCGTTGTCCGCTGCATTTGGCAGGAGATATTTGTACATCTTGTCGTTCTTGTTTGTTATCAAAAATAGAGCAGGCAGCATGTGCTCGTGCACCCCCGAAATGTTCAGGAAAAACTCCGTGCTTGTGTAGTCCAGAAGCGCCACCTTCAGCTCGGTCTTAAGGCTCTCCACGATGGGCCTGCACCACTCAAGGGTTCCAAAGTCCGTCTTCCTTGCAACTGCATATACAATCGGCACTCTGAGATTCTCGTACAGCGGCGAGTTGTCTTTATGCAGCTCCCCAAAGACCTCCAGGCGTGCAACGTTGTATGTTTCCGCCACTCTTGCAGCAAGTACGTCTACGTCTCCCTCCGGGACTCTGAACACGTACTCTCCAGCCTCAGACTTGTAGTAGACTCCTGGCATAACGACGCCCAGCCTCTCAGCTGCCTCTGCGTCCGCACTGACCTCAAACTTCATGCCCACGGGCTTGCTTATTTTCTGGATTTCCTCCTCTGTAAGCGTGGCACCCGTGAATAATATGCACGTTCCCTCAACCTTCTCTGGGGCCGCACTCTTCAAAATCTCCTGTTCCATTGTCTCTATGATTTTCATCATTTCTTCTTCTGTTGGCTTCTCTCCGTTCTTTTCCTTCGCTGTCTGCAGAACTCGCTCGACCATGTCGTTCACCAAAGTGTGCATCTGCTCCTCGGTAATGCTGCCTCCAATTTTCTCAACAGCCTGCTTTATAGCATTCTCTGCAAACTCGTTTACTGTGGTTTCTATGCTCTGCTCGCCTGCCTCCTGGCTGGCAGCTTCCTCAACAGGAGTAATCTGCTCCTCCTTCGCGCTTTCATCCTCCTGCTCTCCTCCGCTGTTGGTGACTGTGATTTTCACGTCTCCTTGCGAGGCACCGGACGCCTCTATGTCTGCTGTTTTAATGCCTTCTTTGCATCTAACTAGCCCTGCCACACACAAAATAAGTATGCCTGCTACTGCTATGACTCTCATATGAAAAAAAAGAATCGATGCAAATTTATGCTTGGAATTTTCCTGATTTTGGAAACATTGGAATATTTATTCGAATTTAAATGTAGAGTGTCATTAAGCTAGATTAAATTTTAATTTAATGTGTTTGTAATGTCTTGGGAAGTTCACTCCTCGTGCAGAAAGTTCTTTGTTGGCGACATCTTTACCACGACAGTAAGCATACGCTCCCCCGAGGAGAGAGTGCTCGTGGCCTCGTGCAATTTCACTGGGGCATATTTGCGGAGAACTGGCTCCTCGCTCTTCCTGGAGACAGAGAGGGTTGTTTTGGGGGTGAACACTCCGTGCATCAAGAGCGAGTACTCCCTCTTTCTCCCGAAAAACATTCCGCCGAGCTACTCTGGCGCGAACATAGCGATTGTGTACAGTCTGAACGTGTACATCCAGGACGCAGGTGGGGTCCACAGCAAGAGTATTTTGTGCTCGGTCGTCTCTGGGAGCTCTGTGTGCTTTGAAAGCTCCTCAAAAATGCGCGTCTCCGAAAAGTATGCAAGCATACGCGAAGAGAGCGACTCCTCCCGCATGGTCGAGGCGTCTAGCCCCGCGCACAAGAGCGTGCACTGCTACCAAGAAATTGTCGACCTTCTCAGACGCACTCCCGTCTGCAAAAAAGAAGCTGCGGAGTTTCTGCTTTCCCCAGCGCAGGGAAAGCCGCACGCATTTGAAGCACTCTGCAAGCCTTTGCAGCAGCTGCAGGCGCATGCAAAAGCCTTCTTGCGCGCAGAAAGAGAAAACACCTCGCACCCGCTTGGGCTGTACCACCTTCTGTGCAGAGGCGAAGATGCTCTGGCAGAGTCCTCCAGGCAGTCCGTGTACTCAATAACCTCGCAGGGCACAGAGTATGCAAAGGCCTCTCTGCGCATGGAAGAGGAGGACTCCCCGCACTACGTGCTCAGCCTTTTCCTGGAGGCGAGGGCGAGCATGCAGTCGGTTAAAGTCTCCCTGTTCCAGATGGAGCGGGTGGACGACGCCGAGGAAAGATCTTGCTTCTTTGCGCTTTCAAAGGACATGCATTTTGCAAAGAATGTGCGCTTTACAATTCCTCTGAACAAGGCCAGAAATCCGACTATTCTTACTCCTAGCTTCAACACCCAGGTGGAGATGCTCATAGAAATAGACTCCGCCCACTCTGCGAGAATAAAAATCCAGTAGAAACACCGGCTTTCACGGGGAAATAGTCCAGGCATCTTATGCAGGCGCACTCCTACGCGTGTGATCTGGCCCGGAGTGCGGGCATGCAATTTCTCTGCTTTGCTCCTTCCTGCAGAATTTGCTTTTCTTGGGGCTGCTTCTGCGGGAAGGCCGTGTCCAAATGGCTGCCCCTGGCTTGGGGCACTATTTAGAAAGTTCTAATTTCCCCGTTCTTTCGATATTTCCGGAGATGGCCAATGAGTGGCTTGATTCTCCAAGCACTTTATCCATAGTCCATTTGCAAATGATCTGATTGTATTGGTCGGTGCTTCTGCAAAAATACTCCAGAAGGCAGTGAAAAGTTTTTACTATGAAAAGTTTCTATAGCGTAGTCGTAACTGAATACAAAGATTTGGTGAAAACATACGGCAGTATTCCCTGCATCCCTTACTTGTCCATTTTTGCTTTGCTGGTTCTGTTTTTAATGCACAGCAGCAGGAATAAGTTTCTTATTGGTCTGGTGGAAGCGCGCTATTTTGGGTTTCTGCTAGGGAATATTGCCTATCCTCTGGCTGTTTGGCTGGGGTTTAACGGGCCTGGCTTTATGTTTGCCTTTGGCGGGTTTTTGTGTGAGGCGTCAGGGTACATTTTTAGAGACTACAGAAGCCGAAGGCCCCTGTTCATATTCTCGTCCATTTTTGTGTGGTTCTTCTACATCTTCCTGCTTCTATCATTTTCCATAAAAGTAGCCGTGCCGGCTGCGCTTGCAGCGTCTTTTCTCTCCCTTGGGTACAGCAGAAGAACGCCCCTTGTATATATAGGAGCACAAACACTCTGCGAGTCTATGCTGCTCGCTATGGTGCTTACCGGGGCTGTACAGTGCGTTTTTTCCAAAGGCTTTGGCATGCATTACATCGAAAAAGTCAAGCCTCTTGTTTGCTCGGCTATTTTCTCCCTGCAAGGCATCTACAAGCTGCTAAAAGAGAAGAAGTACAAGGCCATGCTCTAAACAGGGCACTGCCCAAAGCGGGAGGCCCAAACGTAATAAATAGATTTAACACTTTATACCGTCTGCTTTATGCTGAATCTCTGCGCATAGAAAACAGCACATTCCCCCCTTCATCCGCTGCTTTACACGGGCTCTGGCTTGTATATCTTCCTAAACTGCAGCACCACAAGGAGGGCCGATATAACCCCCATCCCTATGTTCGCACACGCATTTCCTCCGGAGACATCAAACACGATGGGCTTCATAGAGTGTATCGCGCACTTGAATATCATCGTGCACAGAATGCACAGCAAGCACATAAACATCATCTCCACCAAAGGGGAGTGCGGCCTTTCTGGCTGCTTTATTTCTGTGCGCACAGGGTCTGCCATTATCGTATAGTATATCTGCGTCTCTGCGCCCTGCCCTGCTGTGAATAGCTCGTCCGAGAGATACCCCACAAACTCCCTAGCCGACCGTGCAAAGGAGAATCTTCTGAATATGCTGCGCATGAAAATAAAAGAGAATCAGCAGAAATATCCAGGGGTAAAATGGAGGAGGCCTTCCTATAAGAACCGCTGCAAAAAGGAGAATATGAAAGAGCTTTTCTCACAGTGCGAAATATTCAAGAACAACAAGAACTTCGAGGGGGTTGTGCAAACAGCCTCCGCCATTCTCACCCACGCCATTCGGGAGGCGCTGGAAATGGAGTCAATCCCGCGCGACTACAGCAAAGTGATCGATGCAGTTGTGTTTGTGACGCAGAGAATGCCCGGAACCAGATACAAAAACACGGCATTTTCTGAGGCGTACTGCATCCTGGGGAAAATATTCGAAACTGGCGTCCTTGCCCCAGAGAATAAAAAGAAAGCGCGCGAGTACTACGCCATAGCAGCAGACCACAGCAACCCGTTCGGGTGCTACCGCCTGGCACACTTCTACGAAAACGGCATAGAGTGCACGAAGAACATGCACAAGGCAGCGCACTACTATAAGCTGTCGGCAAACGGGGGCTGCTGCAGAGGGCTGCACCGGTACGGACTCCTTCTTCTGGAGGGCAGGCACTGCAAAAGAGACGTGAAAGGAGGCGTCTTTTACTTGGAGCAGGCAAAAAAGCTTGCCTCCCAAAACTATCCGCACATGCTGTACGATCTTGGCGTGTGCTATGAGAAGTGCCCTCTCCTGGAGGGGCACATCCTCGAGGACCAGGAGTACGCGCTGTCTATTTTCCAGCAGGGCGATGCCTTGGGGTGTGCTCGATCAAGCGTCCGCCTGGGAAATGCGTACAATACAGGAGGCCTGGGCCTTCCCCAAGACACGAAGCTGGCCCTGCACTACTACATGCGCGGTGAAGCGTGGAGCAGTGAGGCACGCTTTGAAATATACCGGATATACGCCAGCCAAGGAAACCAGGCGTCTTCTCTGGAGTGGCTGAAAAAAGCTGCGGAAATGGGGCACCCTGAGGCCACCCATCTCTATGCACAGACCCTGGAGCGTGGCGTGGGTGTTGAGGAAAACAAGCTCGAGGCGCTTTGGTGGTATACAATAGCCAAAACAAAAGGCGTCCACGTTGACGCAGAAATAAAAAGATGCAGAAGTATGCTTTAGAAATAAATAAATAATACAGAAAAATATACTGAAATATCCCAAGAATTCGGATATGGGGTTTACGGGCAGAGGCGTGCTCTTTTTGTCTGCCGCATTTTCTGGCTGTTGCTGGGCGATGCGCCTCTTCAATTTGGCCGTGTGTGTCTGCGGGCAACACTCCACAGATTCTCGATGAAACCAGGGAAAACGAGCTGGTGCGAACGAAAGGCAGAAAAATCACGAGAAAAGGCGTGCACTCTGAAGGTGCTCTGAAGAGCGTATAAATTTGGTGTTTTTATTCGGGTGCTGCGCAGCACTATTTAAGCATTTCTGCTTGTATTTTATCTATTACACTCTGGGTTGCAGCCACTCCTCTTCGGAACACGTCCATAATCGCCTCTCTTGTCTGGCTCTCTTCTTTTTTCAGTTGGATTTTCATCAGAGCCCTCTCCTCCATGGGGTGCGGAATTGTGTATCCAACCAGGTCCACCTCGTGCACGCTCTCAAACTGCCCGATCGCCCATCTGACCAAATTTAGCACAGTGTGGTTTGTTTTCAGCACCTCAATTGTATACTCGTCCTTTGCGTGAACTTCCATTAAATTTTTTAGAGCGCAGCGAATATAAAAAGTCCGTTCTTGGGCCAGCGCTTTAAACCACACATTTATTCTTCCTGTTTGTCCGAGGGGGCCTTTCCAGACTTTCCAAGCTTTATCTTTTGCACAGGCTGATCCTTTTCCACAACTTTCTGCACCTTCGTTAGAGAGAGCTTGTACTTCTCGGGGTTTCTTATCCGGTCAATTTTCTCCCGGACCTCCTCCATGATCTCGGCAGTGCCTTCTATGCTGGAAGACTTGCCCAGAATCTCCAGCAGCTGCTCCAGCATCTCTATCGCCTTTTCGGTGTTTCCCAGCTCCTCGTGCGCGATTGCGATCCGGAAGGAGATATCTGGGAGCCTCGAGTCGTCTGTGCTTTTCCCCTTCAGAAGCGCGTGCGCCTCTGTGAGGTCTTCCAGCGCGCTTTCAAAGTTGTTTGTCTCCTGCGCAATGTCGCTTAAGAGAATGTGCACCTTTATGAGCTCTTCTGTGAACTGGCTTTTCCTGAACGTGTTTTTGGCGATCTCCAGCACCTCCCAGGCAATCCCCAAGTCTTCCAGATACTCGTTGTCCTCTTCTATCTCCGGATTTAGCACGAGCTTGTCGTTGGACAGGAACAAACACTTTGAGTACTCCAAATACACGGCGCACATCTTCAGGCTGTCCTCTGCCTCCTTCGCAGACATCTCCGCCAGAATCTGTGAGTATATTTCGGAAGCCCGAGAGAAGTCGCTCTGAACCATCAGCGCGCGCGCCTGTTTTATATCCGCGTACTCCGTCTGTATTTCTTCAAGAACTCTCTCCATGCGCAACAAGAAAAAAAAAGATAAATACCCCTAAAGACGCGCTCTTTCGGAGGAAAAGCATGCATACATGCCGCGTATGGGCAAGGCCATGCATGCGCACGCTCCTCGTCAAAGGGCGGGATAAACAGCCGTTCTGTGGAGAGTCCCCACGCCCGATACCCTCCCGCAGACGCCCTGGCGGCCTGCAGAAGAGAAATTGTCCCAGGCCTACAAAGGCCCAGCACATGCTTCTTTCCCCCGTGCTGTCCGCACCAAGCCAGTCAAAAGCACTTTCTATCTCCAGGAAGAAACTGCCTCCGTGCATCTGCACAAGCATTCCAGCAAGTCCATCCGTGCCCACTTTCTGGAGCAGAGCATCGATGCACCCGGCGGGAGTTGCGCATAAAAAGGCTCTGCTCCTTGAAAGTGCAAGCAAAATTTCCCGAGAAAATAGCACATCTGCAAAGAGCCCATAAAGAGACAAAATATGCGTGGAGATGCCCCTTGCAGAGTGCTTTGGCCCTGCATCATTGAAAGCAGGGAATCTTGCCAGATCTTTTCTGCTGCTGCAAACCTGAATTTTGCGCGCATCAGAACATAATGCTTCCATTTGCTTCGAGAAAGGGCGCAAATGCAGTGCCAGATCCAGCTGCAGCCAAGGAAAAGAGAAAAATGCGTGCATTTATTCCGTGTTCTTGTTTTTTTTATGAAAGAAAAGAGCCAGCTTACACGCCTTGCAGTTGTGCTGCCAGACAAGTGCAAGCCCAAACTGTGCCAGCTAGAGTGCAAGAAGGCATGCCCGGTCAACCGCCAGGGAAAGCCCTGCATAACTGTGGACAAAACCACAAAAACAGCAGAAATATCAGAAATACTGTGCATAGGGTGCAGTGCATGCCAGAAAAAGTGTCCATTTGATGCAATCCGAATAATAAATCTGCCAACCAGCCTATCAAAAGACGTAGTGCACAGGTACTCGCCAAACGGGTTCAAGCTGCACCGGCTGCCTGTTCCAAGGCCGAACAAAGTGCTGGGCCTGATCGGCACGAACGGAATTGGAAAAAGCACTGCGCTGGGCATACTGTCTGGGGACACGACTCCAAACATGAACGACTTTGCAGCAAAGCCCGACTGGAACAAGCTCCTGGTGCGGTACAGAGGCTCTGAGCTGCACAAGTACTTTACCAGGCTGCTGAGCGAGGAGATGAAAATATCGTACAAGACGCAGTACGTGGACAAAATACCGCGGAGTCTGGGCGACGAAACAGTCGGAGAAGTTCTCCCAAATGTGGACGAAAACACAGGCCGGCTGTACAAAGAGCTGGAGCTGCTGAAGCTTTCGGAAAGAAGGGTGAAGGACCTGAGCGGGGGAGAGCTGCAGCGGTTTGCAATTGCGCAGGCCATGGCGAGAGACGCCGACGTGTACATTTTTGACGAGCCGTCCTCGTACCTTGACGTTCGGCAGCGAATAAAGGTGGCAACGCTGATAAAGAGCCTTTGCGCAGACAGAAAGTACGTTATTGTGGTTGAGCACGACCTGTCTGTGCTGGACTTGATGAGCGACTACGGCTGTGTCCTGTACGGGTCTCCGGGGGCGTACGGGGTGATATCGCAGCCGTTTGTCATCCGCGAGGCCATAAACATCTTTTTGAACGGAGTTCTGCCAACAGAAAACATGCGGTTTAGAAAGGAGGGGCTGAGCTTCAGAATAGCAGAAAGTGCTGGAGGCGCGGAAACTGTGTGCGAGGGGAGCCTGGGGCTGGTCAACTACCCCGCCATGAGCAAGTCGTGGGGAAGCGGATTTGAGCTGCGGGCAGAGGCCGGCGCGTTCACAACGCCCGAAATCATTGTCCTTCTCGGAGAGAACGGGATGGGAAAGACCACGTTCATAAAAATGCTTTCTGGCGAGGTGAAGCCAGACAACGGAAAGGAGGCCCCGAAGTTGACCATAAGCATAAAGCCCCAGAAGCTGTCCCCGAAGTACGAGGACACGGTTCGCAGCCTGTTTTTGATCAAGGCAAAGCATGCTCTTGTGGACTCTCTGTTTACGGTGGAGGTGATGAACCCGCTGGAAATCAAGAACCTCTTTGACAAGAAGGTGAAAGAGCTAAGCGGGGGAGAGCTGCAGAGAGTAGCCATTGCCCTGTGTCTGTCCAAGCCTGCAGACCTCTACCTGATCGACGAGCCCTCAGCGTACCTCGACTCCGACCAAAGAATCATCGTTTCAAAGGTGCTTAAAAGATTCATAACCAGCCAGAAGAGGTCGGCCTTTGTGGTTGAGCACGACATGATTATGGCAACATACGTGGCAGACCGCATGATGGTGTTTGAGGGCCAGCCTGGAGTGAAGTGCACAGTGAGCGCGCCAGGCGGCGTGGTGGACGGCATGAACAAGTTCCTGAAGTCCCTTGACGTCACCTTTAGAAGAGACGCAGAGAACTTCAGGCCCCGAATAAACATGCCAAACTCTGCAAAGGACCGAGAGCAGAGGGAAAGCGGAAACTACTTTTTCAACAGCGAATAGCGCCGTGCAAGGAGGGCGCGTGCAAGAAAGTCTTTCTGCATAGAATAAATCCAAGGTTTACACCACAGCACTGCACTCTAGAAAGGATGCAGACCAAAGAGTCTGTCTCTGCCGTAAACTCTCACGCGGTCGCGCTGAAGCGTCTCCGAGCTCGCCCTGAAGATTTGGCGTGGGCTTTTTCCAGGGATGCACTGCAGCGTTTTCAACTTTTTTGTCTTCGGGCTTGGCCTTGCCTACAAGAGTGCACTTTTTAAACATAAAACCACCAGAAAAGAGAAACAGGCCCGGGAGTGCCCAGGCAGGCTTTAAAAAATGCTATGCCCTTTTATGTAAATACGAGCCCCATACTGGGTCATGCTAATTTGCGCCACTGACAGTACGGGAATATTATCATAAACAGTATGTATATGAAAAAACCAACTATATATATTGATAAGACGATGCGCTCTTTCCTGGAGCAGTCGTTGCTCTCCTTCAAGAGGCCTTCGCCTATTTCAAAGGTGGAGTGCTCCAGAAACTCTGTCTCTTCAGTGGGCTCTTGGGGATGCGAGGTGCTGGGCGCACATTCTCGGGGAGAGGGGCCGCTGGAGACCGGAGCCTCTTGAGGGGCGAAGCCTTCTGTAGGATTGGCCGGTGTCTCTTTTGCAGGAGCCTGGAGCGCTTTGTCCATGTCTGGCAGGCTTATGCGGTTTCTTAGCAGAAAGGGATACGAGAGTTTCTGCATCCCTATGCCAAAAGGCAGCACTACTAGACAGGCTTTTTTCTCTTCAAGTGACATGCGCTTTTTTCGCTGCGAAATAAAGAATAGCCGCTTGGACATGGCAAGCTCCTCTTTTGCGAGGTGCATAGTGAATATTGGGTCGTGCACATTCAAAAGAGTAAGCGCCCCGTTGGCTATCTGATACTTCTGCGCCATGGCAGGAATCAGCTGCTCGGGGAAGCATATTGTAAAGAGGGCGTCCATAGTTTGCGGGCCCAACGCACTCATCTCTGCAGCTAGTGCAGGGATGGCTTTAGAGTTTTGCTCTTTTGAGCGCCTAATTGCAAGCGCTGTCTTTTGCAGTATTGCGGGCATCTTGCTGAAAACGTCTTTTAGCTTCTCCTCAACGGTACGCTGGCCTAGAGTGCTCTTTTTCTGGGCGTCTTCGCCTGCGCCCTCCTGCAGCTCTTCCTGCCACTCCTTGCCCAGCTCTTCTTCGCCCTGCAAATTCCCCTGGGAAGAAGGCACTCCTTCTGCAAGTTCCCCTTCCGAGCGCAGGCGGTTGCAGTACTCTCTAAAGTCTGAAGCGTCTATGTGGGATCTCAGAGCGGACGGCGCAGTCTTCATGTAGGATCTCGGGCATTTTATGAGCAGAACGTCTATGTGCACGTATCTCTCCAGTATTTTGGCTATTTTGACCAAATATTCGCAGTGGTTCTCGCCCGTAACGCACACCGCATGCCTTTCATAGATGGTGTTTATGGCCTCTGTTATTTTCTGCGAAAAGTCTTTTCTAATGGCATTCAATGCCAGAGGCCCTCGATAAGAGAAGACGCCGAAATCTTTGAAGAGACTCTTGTTCCTGTCGTTGCGCATTTTTATGTACGTCAGCAGGCTTGCTATCTTTTTTAAAGCTGCATTTTTGGCGTCTGTACCAGCCCCCGTACAACTTGATGCCAACGCGGCAGAGCAGTGCTGCTCTATTATAGGGTATAGAGCTATGGAAAATTCGATTGTGTTCGCGGAAAAGTACTCCAGAGACTTTAAAAGTCTCACTGCATTTTCTTCTATCCGTGCATGGTCTATACTTACGCAGACCCTGTTTTTTGTGGTATTACTCGCTTGCATGTATTGTTAAAAGTTGTATCTGGTTTTAATGTTATCGAGTATTAATACTTTGAAATTTGACCATCATGAAAAAGCTCAGCACGGATTTGATCGAAGAAACGATAAATATAAATCAGATCCCTGCATGATTCTCTCATAGCACATAATTTGGCCATTTATAGCACTCTAGAAGCACTCTAGCAAGACTGTGGCAACTGCCACCTTCTCCAGCGGCATTGCATAAATTTACAGAGTGCAGTGCGGCACAATGCGGCAGCCGCTTTACTGTGCACGAAAGCTCCTGCGAGTGTGAAGGCCTCGCTGCACTCTTCCGGGATTTGCTGAGTTTTTGAAGTCTCTGGGCGTTTTCTGCTTGCCCGTGCATAGCTTTAAAGGGGAGGAGAGAACTGCAAATATAAAAGTACACGCCAGTTTTTATTAAGGCATTTATTGAGTTTGTGCAAAGCTGTCGTATAGCTGGCTAAGAGTATATCCGTCTTGTCAATACTAGCCCAACAACAGAAAGCACACACGCGGTTAGTGCGCAAGAGACTGTCTTGGTTGTCCAAAAAACATGTTTTTCATTTGGCACAGTGTCTACTGCCTGCTCTCTTTCCTCCATGTCTACAATCTCGCGCGGTATAGGCTTATACACAGGGATATCCCGCAGCGTGTGCAGGTCGCCCTCAGAAAGCTCTTTCCCATAAAAGAGCATTGAGTGGGCCATGGCAACGTCAATTCCGGAGGTGGTCAAAATCCGGTCAGCCTCCGCTAGCCACGCCCCTCCACCGGCTAGCTCTCTGTCTATTGCAGTGTTTATTTCGTCCAAAAAAGAGGGAAGCAGCTCGCAGAATTTGTCTGCAATGTGCTCTGCCCGGGTTTTTACGCAGTTGTCCTTGCTCACAGGCTGCATAAGCTCGCGTAGGGAGTATTTCGGGAGCCTACTCGAAATAAAGTGCATGAGGTACAGGCGCCAGTCTGAAATGAAGCTTTCTTCTCTGGTGGTCTCCATAAAGTTCAAAATAACAGAATACCGCTGCAAGTCCGCTTCGCAGGATAATTCGTACAGCTTGCTCGGGCTGAGTTCTTCGGAGGTGTCGTTGAGTCTGTGATACATCTCCATTGCCAGAGGCTCTGTGTAAAAAAACAAGCTTTCCTTTGCAATGACCATCTTGGACGCCATGCTCTGGATTTGACTAGAATGGGGCGAGGCCTCAGTGTACTCAACCAGATCTGTCAATTTTATCTTGCCCTCTTTGAGCATATACAGGTCCCGAATGCATGGCCACACAGACTCTTTTGTCCTCAAGCAGCACTCCTCTGCATATTTCTGCATCCTCAGTTGCATGCTTTGCAGCTCCGACAAAGACGTGCTAGGATTGAAGATTAGATCTTTCATGTGGTCAAACTCAGAGAAGAACTTGTCCTTGCATTTGGTTAATTTTTCCGTGTGGGCGGAGAAGTCTTTTTTCTTCTCATCCATCTTCGTGCGGAATATGCTCCATAAGTTTCTGACAAAACTGCTGCAGTCCCCACGCAGGTTTTCGTAAATGCTGCACCGCACTATTGCGTGTATGCCACTCTGGGCGCTTGGGGTTAGGTCCTTTCTTATTGTTATCTCGATGCTTTTCCAGAAGTACGACTCCAAAAAGATAACCAGCTCCTGACAAGAAAATATGCAGCTGATAGGCACTGTGTGCGTGGATAGATCCGCTGTAAGCTGCAAGTTGTTGATTAGTACTTCCACTATCTTGCTATCGCTTGTCTGCATAAAGTCTTTGAAGTTTTCTTTATTTATGCATTTTTTTATCAGCCTTTGCTTTTAATGATTATAAGCCAATAGTATCCGGCCTAAAATAAAAATTATGGCCCAAGCACCAAATTAAAATATGGGACCTATGAGCTTTTATTTGCGCTCCTGCTTGCCTTTTTTAAAAACCATTCAAAAACATGCACTGCCAGGCGGCTTTCTATGCGCATGCTTTGGGCTATTCCAATAGCATGCAGGCAGATTTCCATTTAGGATGTGCTGCCAAGGATGGATTCTCTTCAAAGCTACAGGCCTAGTGCCAGTTCTTCTGGGCTGGCGAATTAGAGCTTGCGTGTGTCAATGCAAGTAGCCAAGAAAACCGCCGTCATGCACATCACAGCACAGGCTAGGCAGCATATAATGGCGATTTTTTCTATTACTGCTTTGTGAATGCTGCTAAACCAATTGCTCAAGGCAGAGTCGATGGTTTTAGGGCTTTCCTGTGCGTCTGCGGCCGTGACTACACACTGGTTCTGCTCGCGCGCTTCTATTAGGTCTCTAGCAGCTTTATCTATGGGGATAGACATGCTCCTGGTATGCCTGGCCCTCAGATGGTCTACAGAGTCATCTACTTCTTCTACGAGCAGAGCTGCATCCAACTCCATTCTTGAGGGTGCTGACTGCACCTTGAGAGAGCGAAGGCTCTCGCCCAGCCTTTTATTAAAGTATCTGAAGCGGGAGGAGGATTCGACTCTCTCGTCCAGGTCTAAGTTATCTTGCATCTCGCAGTTTCTTTGCGTGGGACGCTCAAAACAGCAGGCCTCTTCATCTAAAATTACGTAGAGCTCGTTTAAGTCTGCCTCTACTATACTCAAAGACTTTTCTTCTTTGGCTAAGATATAAAGGATCTCATCATCGGGTATATACAGGCTTCTATTTTTGAAGTCCTTCATAGGGAAAGAACTTGTGAGTTTGAATGCATTCTCAACTATTCTTTTTAAAACACGGTTTTTCTTCTCTTTGGATATTCTGAGGAGTATGCCATTTATTTGGCGAATGTAGTCTTTGAGGCCAAAAATTGTCTGCGCAGAAGGCTCAATCTCCTCAATCTCGTGGTTTACACAATCGAAAACCACACCCAGAATGGATATAAGCATGCTTAATTTTGTGAGACTGGCAGCCGAATAAACCTGGTTTGCTTGCTCCCCGCAGCCTTCGAGTTTGCTGCTCGTGAGGATTCTGATTGTGTCTTCCACACCGTCCATTACGCTGTCTAGAAGCACGTCTGCGCTTATGGGGCTGTCCAGAATTTTCGTCAGATTTATAAAGAGCAGTGTGCTTGCCAGCTTCATAATGCTATTTAGCACATATTTTGTAGTAACGCCGACGCATTGTACCATTATTTTCTTCCATAGAATTTTGAATACCAAAATGCTTTTCTGAATTGCATCTTTCTCTTCGTTTAGCTCCTGCAGCTTTTCCTGTATTTCTCTTGTAAGCTCGGGGCTTTTTTGTATAGAGACCTTGAACTTGGCTTGGGACGGGCTATGCATCTGTTCTCTTTGCATGCAGCCCTATATATACTTTGCTCCAAATCAAGCAAACATGCATGCAGCTTGAATATGGCATAATTGGCGCTGTACATTGCAAATTAGTCCGGTTTTGGCCCAAATAATACGTTTGTGTTTGCACATCCGAAATGAGCACTTTAGTTTGCATTTAGCTCTTTGAGGCACAAACAAGCATCCGCATGGCTTGGCTTCTCTCGCAGGGAAATAGAAGCACTGCAAGGCATAGTCTGCGCTCTTCCAGCACCATGGCTGTGCCTAAATTCCCCAGACAGCGCGCAGCACCCAACTGTGGCACCGAAAAGCACAGACTATGCCTTGCAAAGGGTCTTTAAACACAGCACCTCTAAAGCGCACTCTTCTTTTGCACCAGGCGTTTTCTTGCGCAAAGTGTGCAACTGGGCTGCCTTTCTTTCCACGCGCATAAACTTTGAAAACACAAAAGGCGGGGGCGGGAAACAGAAATAGTATAAAAGAGCAGGAGAAGTTTTCCGAATGCCAGAAAAAGTAAGAAAGTGCGGAATACTTGCATGGGCCAAAAAAAGAGTAAGTTCGCCCGTAAATGCATGCGCGGAGGAAGAGGCAAAGGACGGCGCTCTTTTTGAGCCGTCGCAGGAGTCCAGTTCGGCACAGACTCCATGCGCTGAAAGCACAGACCTTTCGCAAAGCAGCGTAAGAGACGCAGAGGAGACTGTCGGACAGTTGTACAGCAAAAAAGCAGAGCACGAGTGCGAACAGCGGATGCTGCCATTCCTGTCTCCGCCGAAGGACAAGTTTGGAAGAACGCCTGCAGATGCAGAGTACGACAAAAGCACGCTTTTTATACCGGAGAGCGACTTGTCGGCCATGACCCCGTGCGAGCAGCAATTCTGGCGCATAAAAATGAACTACTTTGACACGGTGGTTTTTTTCAAGAAGGGAAAGTTCTACGAAATGTTTGAAGAAGACGCTGCGATTTCAGCCGAGCTTTTTGGCCTGAAGCTGACTCGGCGCGGGCTCATGCGGATGACAGGAGTGCCGGAGATGGCTTTGGAGATGTGGCTGGACAAGTTCCTGCACAAGGGATACAAGGTCTCCATTGTGGACCAGAAGGAGACCAGCGTATCGCAGAACATGCGGGTAAAGTCGGGCGATGCAAAGCAAAAGATCATCGAGCGGGAGCTGAAGGAGGTTGTGACCGAGGTAACCACAAGCACGGAGGGCGCAGGAATATGCAGCTTGTTTGTGTCGGAAATTCCGCACACGGGAAAGGTTTCTGTGCAGATGGCAGTTCTTCGGCCGATGGAGTCGGAAATATTCGCAGTCTCCTTTGAGGACGATGAAGAGCTTTTCAAGGTGAAAAGCGTCGTTAAAAGAGAAAACATCCGAGACATTCTCACAGACAGCGCATTTCCAGGGCGGGAGAACATAATAAAAATCCGGCAGGACGTTTGGGACCAAAATGTCTCGGACCTCATGCAGCTTCTGGACACACAGAAGATGGAGGCCGCAGAGATATCCGCGGTTAAAGTCCTTCTTTCGTACCTGAAGTATCTGAAATACACGTTTGCCCCAAAGGCGGTGGAGTACTCGGAGAGAAGCAGAGAGTACATGCACATGGACGGAAGAACGATAGAAATGCTCTGCCTCCTGGATGGGCCGGAAAAAGGCGAGAGGGCAGGGAAAGGGTCTTCTTTGCTGCAGCAGATAAACCAGACTAAAACCAAGCAGGGAAAAAGGCTTCTTAGAAAGTGGATTATTCACCCGCTGGCATGCATAGAGAAAATAGAGAAAAGACAAAACACCGTGCAGGCCCTGGAAAATGCCCCCGAGAGAGGCTCCATCGAAGCGTGCCTGGGGAAGATCCACGACATAAACGACTACATTAAAAAGGCGAAAAACCACAAAATCCGCCCCGAGGAAATAAGAAGGCTTGTCTCGACATTGGAGGCAGCTGGAAGTGTTTGCGCCCTCCTGGAAAAAATAGAAAGCACGCAGGAAACAGAGAACTCGTGTGTCGGGGAAATCCGCAGAAAGCTCCAGTACTTCCCCGTGGGCGCAGAGCTGGTCGCTGGGTTTGACACGGCCGGAGAGATCATGCCCCTGGAGACGGATCCGGACCTGCTCGCAGCCGAGAAGCACAAGCAGAAGGTGCTGAGAATACTCGATGAGTACGCAAAAAGGGAGTCTCTGCACGCAGGGAGAAACTTTGTTGTCAAGAAAATAGGGCGAGAGCACGTCCTTGAGTGCAAGCAGCAGGAGAGAATTCCGCATAAATACATCCCCTCGGGCTCAACAAAAACAACCGCAAGGTACACAACCCCCGAGCTGAGAAAGCTCTCGGAAAGCTTCCTGGAGGCAGAGGAGAAGATCTCGTTTCTCTCCACAGAGTCCATCAGCAGAATATCGCAGAGAATTGGCGCAGTCGAGGAGGAGCTCAAAAGCGTGTCGCTGGGCGCGGCAGAGCTCGACTGCTTTTTGTCGCTTGCCCACATCCGAGGGGCGCGGGCAGAGCTTGCAGATGAGTTCCAGGCCACGGGAATCACAAACATAAAGCACACGCACATTCGAAACAGCCTCGAGGTCCAGAGAGACAACAAAATAGTCGTTATAACAGGCCCAAACATGGCAGGAAAGTCGACGTTTTTGAGAAACGCAGCAATATCCATTGTGCTGCGGCAGATCGGAGCCCGCGTGCCCGCTGAGTCCTTCCGTGCCCCCGTGTACGACAGAGTCTTCACCCGAATAGGGGGCGCAGACAACCTTTTCGAGGGCGAGTCTACCTTCCAGGTGGAGATGAAGGAGACCGCTGAAATTCTGTCAAACGCCACGGAGAAGTCCTTTGTTATAATAGACGAGCTGGGAAGGGGCACGTCCACGGCAGAGGGCGCTGCAATTTCTTTGGCCGTTAAAGAGTACCTGAAAAAGCTAAGGTGCACGGCGCTGTACGCTACGCACTTCTTCAGCGCCATACTGGAGACAGACGTGAAAAAAAAGATGGACTACCAGTACATGCTGAACGCCTCCAGCGAGAGGGAGATCGTGTACACGTACAAGCTTGTCGACGGCGTGTGCGAAGACTCCTGCGGAATAGACATCTGTAAAATAACAAAGGTCCCAAGGCGCGTGATACAAAGGGCCACCGAGATAAAAGAAGCCAGAGCCAGCCGCAGAAGCACATATGCCATGGCGCATAAATAAACAGCGCTTTTTGAAACCCATGCAGCGTGCGCCTGCCTAGCCATTTACGCCAAAAATCTTTATTTATTCTACGAGTCTTTCTTTTCTATTGCAGCCTCCATCCACTTCAGGAGGTAATGCATCCAAAATGCATTGCTGGGTCCGCGCTGCCTCCACCGGTTGCTTCCGGCATGCTCTTTCCCAATTTTTCTGTACACTTCCCGGTGCGGCTCTCCGTCGCTGTTCTCTCCCAGCAGCCAGGGCGTCTCTTCGTCCAGGTCCGTGTACAGCACGCTCCCTTCTCGGTATACAAGAGCCTCTTTTGTGTCCTCCAAAATGTCCACCGAGTACGCCTCTGCCAAGTCGCCCCGCGTCTCAGCGTACGAAAGAGAGTAATCTATCACCTTCACCGCATACTTTCCGCCCCTTCTATCCACCAGCACATTGCTCTGATGCATGTCGCGGTGCTCTACCCTAAGCCCCTCCATGTCCCGGACCGCCATCTCCAGCTCGCGCCCTATCAGAACCACGTCTTCCCTGGTTAGGCTCGCCCAGTCCAACTTCTCCAGCTCGCGCCCCCCGTGCTCCATCTCAATAACCCCAAAAAACCCGGACGAGTTGTTTTTCTGCGGCGTCATGTTCTCGGCCAGCTCCGCATTCTTCTCCGCCCACTTTTTGCTGGCGCTCACCAGGAAGCTCGTGTACGGCGACCTCACAAGATGCCATGCGAATATTTTGGTCGAGTGCGGGGACATGTTCATTCTCTCCATGATCAGACACTCCTTTACAAACTGCGTTATTCTTGTGTGCTGCACGCGCGCGTAGCTTTTATTTTGTGTGAGGGGGACTATTTTGTACACGCGCATCGTCTCTCTGTTAATGAATATTTCGCTGAACGTGGACTCGCCCAGCTTCTCGAGCTTGTGCGCGGGAATGCACGAAAACCGCCTCCACGGCTTCTTTTTCACGTTACTCGCCTCCTCAATCGAATAGTCGCTGTTCATAAAGCCCCCGCTGTACCGCCCGGAAATGAAAGAGCCCCCGGGCAGCTGCATGCTCAGCTCAGCCGCACTGTGCATGCTCACCGGCACTTTCTTCACCTCGCCCTCGGAAGGCGCCCTCAAATCGCTTCCAGCAGGCCGTGCCTCTTCCGCGGGAAAAGAAAACACTTCGGGAGCCGCAAGCGTTCCTATGCTGCGGCGGGGCGGCTTCCCTCTGCTTTTAAATGTGCGTATTTTCATAATAAAAATATTTACACTTTCTTCTATTCTATAATAATCTAACAATTTTATCTACTACGTTCTCTTCCTTTTCCTCAGCCTGCTCGGCCTTTACTGCATGCTGTGCATATCTCTTTATTATTCCGTGCGTCTCGTCGTACTTTGTCTCTTTTTTCAGACTCTCTATGTTTATTCTCTGCTTCTCCCGCAGTGCCTCCAGCGCAAGAATCTTCATGTTCAGCATGTAGTTGCACAGCCGCTGGTTGCCATAGTACACAGCGTATATGAGCAGCCCTGCCACAACAAAAGCCCCAGAAAGCTTTAGTAAATAGGCGTAAGAAAGGCTCTCCTTGCACACCCACACAATAGAGACAACCCCAACACACATCGCAGCAAGCACTTTGAAGAAGAGATCTCCTGCGGTCTCCTTTTTTCTCTTCAAGCGCTTGATTTCTGCTTCTTTTTCAACTATCTCGTGCTCCATTTGCAGGATGGCCTCTCTTACAGACTTTTTGCTAAACCCAATGCCCATTAAAATTTTTGCGGAATGCCCGAATAATATTATGCCGCATCCTGGCACCTCCGGAAGCGTGCCTTGCTCGCAGCCCATGCTAATGAATGCTAGAATTTATTGTCTCTGCGCTGCCTCCGCAGCTGCCTGAAGCGGCCATCTCCCCAGAAACCGCCCGACTTTGCAGAATGCTTCTGGCCTTTCGAAGTCCCGGGCTCTTTCCTGCTTGTCCGTGCGCAGGTCCCTCGTGTGCTGCGCCCTTCTTGTATTTATTCGCGGTGTCTCTATGCGGGAAGCAAGTCTGTGCTCAATCTTTGGCCTCCTTGTGCCGCTTTGTTTTTCTGTTTCGCATGTGTATGGGTATGTACGAGGAAAAAACAGAAATCTCGCCCATATCCTCTATTATCTTCTGGGCAGTTTCATTGGACAGCCCAAAGAAGGCCTCTATGTCTGGGAAAGACATTTTCTTGAACTCGCGCGTAAAATCTGCCCAGACCTCGTCCTTGCTCCCCGTCCAGTTCTTTCCCCCGGTCGTCCGGATTTCAAAAACGCACTCTCCGTTTACAGATCTGATTTGGCAAAAGTACGCTGCCTTTTGGTCCTCCTGCCCTGGCAGCACATACTTTCTCTTTGACTTGTACCCTATCGGGTATATGTACATGCTGTTGTAGAACGAAGTGCACTCCTCTGGGGGCAGAATCCCAACGGATGTAAGGCTGAACTTTGAGTGGGCCTTCCCCAGAGACATTGGAAAGGCGTCCTCCCCCTCGAACTCGCTGCACTTCGGCGGCTTCTGCCCCTTTATATACACAAGCAGGTCCAGCAGGGCGTCTCTTCTCTGCTGCAACCCGTGCAATTCCCGCCTTCTGTCGTCTATCTTCTTCTTTAGCTCGATGTACTTCGTAAAGCACTCGCTCAGCTGTGCATGACTCTCCATAAAAATAAAAAAGCCACGAATACTAATAATGGGCGAGAGGCCAGAATCCGCCGTGATTTTAGAGCCAAAAGCGCAAAAACTTCTCGGCCCTTCAGCTGCCTCTGCCCGCTCCTCCGCCAACCTCTTCTCGCTGCAGGATATTCACGTGTAAATGCCTCAGATATGTTTTTTATTTCAGCGCATGTGCAGCTTCCAGTGGGTTTGCAACCTTCCACTGCACGCTCTTCAGGATTTTTATCATCACAGGCATGCAATTTAAATCACAAGTATCTTATTATTCGACGTTTATTAGACTGTTAATATGCACTGTCCTCCTGCTGCAACTATTTTAGACTCTGCCTCTGGGGTGAATCTTCTTGCCTTCACGACAATAGGGCGAATCGGGGCTGCGCCCTTTCCAGTTACCTTGAAAATCCCGAAGTCTGAGAGGTTGACGACTGGGACCTGGCTGGGATCGTTTGCAAACTGGTCGTACTGGCCGCACTTGTCAACCAGGCTCCAGATGTTTTCTACTTCAATGTATGGCGAATACGTTGTGTTGTATCTTCTGAAGTACACCTTCATTCCCCTCTTACCGAAGTAGTCTGGGTGGTATTTCTGGAAAAGAGTTCTGTGGTGTGTCAGACCTCCAGCCTTTCCTCTACCTCCTGGATGTTTTCTATGCTTTCCTACTCTTCCGTGTCCATGCGAGACATGTCCTCTTAACTTTCTCGTGTTTCTTTTGTTAGTTGACATTCTACAGGGGACGTAAAAAATTTAAATTTAAATTTCTGTCGAGGTTCTTCCGTTTGCTCTCTGCTAAATTTTTTATGCGCCCACTGAAAGAAGAAGAGTTCCAGAAAATAGAGGGCAAGCTGCGGCAGTACATGGGCAACAATTTGGGCTCATTTCTCAATCCTGTGAACGAGTTGGTATACCACGACCAGAGAGTCTATTACGCAAGGAAGGATCTGATCAAAAAGGCAAGCATGCTTGCACGGGAGAGCATTATGTGCATAGGAACGTGCATGGGGAGGTTCACAAAAACCGGAAGCTTCAGGATCAAGATCACCGCCCTGCACATGCTTATGACGTATGCGAGCGCAAAAGTGAAGGTAAAGCAGACTTCTGAAATGAACGTCCTCTACGGAAACCACGTCCAGAGAGCGCACCTGTGCAATGTGGCTCCAGACATAAAAAAGAACGCAGGCGTGGTCCTTACGACGTCTTCAAGCGTCCCCATCGGGTTTGGGCTCATGACAAAGTCTGCGAGCGAAATCGTGGCTGGAGACAGAACAGCCATTGTCGTGGTCCGGCACGGGGATACTGGAGAGTACCTGCGAGACGAAAGTGCCCTCATGTAGTCCGGACTCTCTGCAGAAGCACAGGAAACTCTAGATCCCAAGCCCTGGAATGCACAAAGAATCGCCCGTAGCTGCGCATCCTGCTGGAAGAGAGTTTCGGGCTGTGCCTCTGTGGGTGGCGCGTGCAGAAACATTAATAAATTATTGACAGAGGATGTGGATATGCGCATGCGCGCGAGTGCCCTGTATAGGCAGAAGCACTGGATTCTGGAGATTGCAGTGCTTGCGCAGTCTGCGTGCTGGGAGATATTTCAGGCTGAAAATTGGCCTTTTTTGCGGCCTTGGGCGGGCAGGCCCGAATCGCGGGGTGTTTCTGTTTTGTGCGCTCTTTGGGGGCGTGCTGTTTTTCTGCTCTCCAAGCCAGGCTTATCTTTTTATCTGTAGGGGAGGCGTTTGCGCGAATATAAATATATTTTTATTCGGGCATTTTGCTAAGAATGGGCGCAGATGAGAAAATACTTGAGCGCTCCCCTATTTTATACATGCAGGATAAAAATGCCCTATACAGCAGGCTGATACAGAGCAAGTACACCACAGCACAAGTGGACAAGCTATTCGGGGAACTGCACAAATACGGGCTGCTGTACTTTTTTGGGCTGTCTGTTGGGAGCGAACTTTCGCGCGCATACAGCAGCTGCAAAGAAGAGAGCTACACGGAAAAGTGTTTTGCAAGCTACCACCTGAGAAACAGAAATAGCATGTATGCAGAAGAGCCCGGGAGTGGATTTGACGAGCTGTTCTTGCACGGGTACTGCAAGTACCTCCGCGGAGAGTATGCGCGCTCTAGGGACTGCATGGAGACGCTGCTGCGGCAGAGCATGTCCGGGGGATCTGTTCATTTCGGGTGCAGGCTGCACATTCTTTCGATTGCCTCGGCCTCTGCGTACAGAATGGGCGGATACTACGATGCTGTTTGGCTGGCACGTGCGGGAATGGCCCTTGCGGAGGCAGTTGGGTTTGAGGAGGGCTCTCTGTACTTTGAGCGCATGCTGAGGATAATAGAGGGCATGAAAAACGGGGAGGCGTGCGAGGAAGAGTTTGCAGGGACGCTGATATCTCGGGACGTAAACAGCCTTCTGCGCATACCGACCACGATGGAGGACAAGATAGAGCGGTGCCTCCGGTATGGAAGCGAAGTGTCTTTGCTTCGGGACGTGAAAATATACGACACCCGCGAGGGGTGGGAAATGAGCAGCACCATTGAAGAGTACATCAACCGGATTAAGGGCATTGGCGACAAGTGCCAGGATGTTTCTCCCGTAGTCGTGTACTCGATCGACGGATGTCTTGCATTTGGCCTGATATACTTTCGGGAAAAGGCTAAGATGTCTGTTATAAAGTCGAAGATTCTGGTGAAGCAGATCCTGCACCGCCTGGGGAAGATCCAGGCGCAGAACCAGGAGGTGCTACGAAGAGAGTGCGCGACCGCAGAGGAAAAGCAGGAGTGGTGGAAAGCAAGGATCTCCCTGGACGCTGAAATAAAGAAAGAGGTCTTGCTGATCGACGGGTATCTACAGAAATACATAATGAAGGGGCACAAAATAAAGCCGAAAGTGGCCCTTGTGATAGAAGACATTCTGGGGTGCATCCCCTTTGAGATGTGCAACACATTCACGGGTGCAGGGGTTTTCAGATGCTCTTCGCTCTGCCACATACTTTCAGGCGTGGGAGCGTCAGAAAGCAGCGGGCCGGTAGAAGACAGCGAGATCTTCTACATTCTAAACCCGGAGAAAAACCTGGCGCAGACGGAGGAGAGAATTGCAAAGTACTTGGAGGAAAACATGCCCGGCGCGTCTGGGATCAGAAACCGCCCTCCCTTGCCCATGGAGGCTGAGCAGGCAATGGCCTCGCACCGCGTGTTTATGTACTTTGGGCACGGCGGAGGCGAGAAGTTCTTCACGCCCAGAAAGCTCAGGAAGCTGTCGAAGGGGATGGAGAAGACGCGGTGCAAAAGCATTTTTCTGTTTGGGTGCTCAAGCGCAAAAATATCTGCATTCCCCATGTACAATACACACAGCACATGCATATCGTATATGCACATCCCCATCGTGAAAAACGTGATTGGCGCCCTGTGGGATGTAACGGATAAAGACCTTGATCTGGTAAGCGTAGGAGTAATGGACGCGGTCAAGAACCAAAAAGAGCTGCTTTCTGTTGCGCTTAACAGGCTAAAAAGGCAGTGCAAGCTGAAGTATCTGAACGGCGCTGCCCTTGTAATATACGGGATAGACGAATAAGCGAGGCTTCCCAGCGCTTTGAAACAGACGCGCTCTTTTGTCTGGGCTCTCGGCTGGTTTGGGGTATGTGCAAACGCCATTCTGCTGCGCTACTTTTTGGCTCTGGGAGTCTGAAAATTGGCTGCCATTTTGTTATTAATTGCATCTATTTCACTACATATTAAAATATAAATAGAAAATAGTTTTGTTTTACCTTATGATCGGAGCTCGGGTTATAAATGCTTTTTCTTGCTTTACTGCGCATTATCCGTTTGTTTTGTGCCTCCTTGGCATAATCGCGTACTCGAAGTCGCTTTTTGTGGAGAGGTCCCCCGTGGGCCAGCACAACACCGCGTCTTCGCAGCCACTATATAAGAAGGGTGTTATTTTGCTCATGGACGGCGTGCGTGCAGATGCGATCCACCGGGTGGATCCTTCCTTCAAAACCAAATATCACGACAACTTCAGCGTGCTCTCTACAATACCCGCACAGGACGTGTTCAGAGCGGTCAGTGTAACAGATCTTCCAACAGGCACTGCCATGCGAGTTCTTTCAACGTTTTCGGGCATTCCCACGACGCTTTTGTCTGCACAGCGGTCTTTCTCGATGCAGGCCAGCAACGTGGACAACTTTGTCACACAAGTACAGAGAAATGGATACTCTCTAAAGTTCTACGGAGACGAGACATGGACGTACCTGTTTCCAGACATAAAAACCAGCATCGGAGAAGTGTACCACCCGTACGGGCTCATTCCCATGGCTGAAGAGGAGAGAATAATTGAAAAGGCTCTTTCTGTGCAGAAAGAGACCGATGTTCTGATCCTCCACATGATATCCCCGGACTCATACGGGCATGTGTACGGAATAGACAGCACAGAAGTAAAAGCCACCCTTGAGGCAATGAACAAGCTGATCAGCGCTCTGCACGAGAGGCTTGACGACGAGTCTTTCATTGCCGTTCTGTCCGACCACGGAGTGAACGAAGACGGCTCTCACGGAGGCACGTCCTTTAAGGAAAAGGCAGCTTCTTTTATGTTTATCGCGAAAGGAGCACTTTCCAACGCACCGGACCATCTTTTGCACGCCCCCAAAACCCGGGCGTACACAGAAAACATTCAGGATGTCTCGCAGCTCAACCTCGCAGAGCCTGTGAACATCATCTCGCAAAACGACATTCTTCCCACGCTCTGCGCCTTTCTGGGGGTCCCTGTGCCATACAACTCTTCGGGTGCTCTTATTCCGCAGATACTTCATCCAGACAAGCACAGAAGCATATACGAATGGGAAATTGCCAGGCAAAAAAAAGCCTTGGAGCTTCTGCACGGAGTGTCTAGGCCGGAAATTCTCCCAAAAGTGGAGAAAAAAAATGTTTTTCAGTCTGCCCCTTCAGAGGCCAAAGCCAAGGCGCCGCACACGTGGGAGACACTCGGCAGCAGCATAAATGAGCTCATCCAAACCAACCAGATCCTCAGCGCGAATATACACGATCTGTTCCACGCATCGTCCCTTCCTGGGATGCTTTTGGGCCTTTTCACCATGGGCCTTGGCTGCGCTCTGCATCTGCTCCTGGCCCGAATCAACGTGTTCTCTCCATACGTTGCGCTTTCCGTCTTTTCCATATTTATGGTGGCGCACTCTGTATACTCAATCATTCACGAAGACATTATTTCCATTCTTATGTGCCTTGTGTGTGGCAGACTGGCCTTGTCTCCACACATTTACGCCTTTCTGCCGGTCTCTTTGCTGGTGGGCGAGCATCCTCTGCACGCGATGGACCGGTTCCGCTGGATCCGCTGGATAGGAAAGGTGCCGCACAGGTACAGGCCTCTCCCGCGCGTGGATAACCTTCTTTTCGCAGGGTCTGTTCTCTGTGTTTGCTTGGGAAAAGTCACCCGCGGGTGGCACAAGCGCTCGCATCTGCTCTCTTCGCTGGGCGCATGCCTGTTCTCTGCAAGCAGGTTTTTCTCGAATGGCATTCCCAGAGCATCGCGGTCCTTTGTGGCGCTTCTCCAGCCAGGCCTGCTTTCCTCTGTTCTCTACGCGCCAGCTTCTGCAATTTCGTTTTACTTCGTTTTTTCGCCTTTGGTTCTGCTCAGCATACGAAAAATAGAGTGCGACGTGCGCAGAGGATGTTTTCTGTTCTTCCTGATAAAGTGCATGTTCTTTGTCACCGGGCACAACCACGCTCTTTCCTCCATCAACTGGGAGTCTGCCTTCCTGTTTAGCAGAAAGTCCATTCCTGTGCTCTCTGGGGTCTTTGTGGCTGCGGATTTGCTTCTTCCATACATCTACGTGGCATATGCGCTAGGCATGGGCCTGCTCCGCACTTTGCACATGGTTGTGCTTTTGCAGGGCGTTTGCGCTGTTCTCGTATGCGCAATCAACTTTTGGTTTATTGACAACTCTCTAATGTGGTTTATCTTCACGGGGAGAACGATCTTCGAGTGCTTCTTTTTGATTGCGTTCATGGGCATACAAGGCGGAATGGGCCTGTACAGCGCTGCAAGAGGCACTGGACACTACAGCCCAGGCCCGCGCAAAGGAATTATTAAAGGCCTGCGAAAAGCCGAAAAGAACAAAGCCTAGTCCTGCACAATCTCTTTGATTTTACACAAGCCTGTGCGTGCGTGGGGCTTCACTTCCGAGCAGATGCGCCTATGCCTACGCCTGTTCATATCAAACTGTGTAAAGCCTCATCACGGCCTTTCTTCTGCGCAATCCCGCGCCTTTTGCACATCTGCGCATTTACTCCACTATGGCTTCACAGAATATTTTTCACAAGTTTCCTTTGCTTTACACTGCGAAAATAAAATGCATACAAACTTCTATTTTTCTTCACTCAGGCAGAAACACTTACATTTTTTGGCTTTGAATATACGCTTAAATCTTTTATTTGCGGCTTGCTGCAAGTTGTAAACTTGGCTTTAGACGGAAAGAACGGGAAAGACAGTTTGTGCACGCAGTGCTTCTAAGCGTGCAAACAAAAGACCTTTTTACAGGGCAGAAAAGACAGATGCACATTCTGGCGCCTGCAGTGGTGCGCAAATGCCAGGGATCTTGCACTCTGCCTTTCCTCGAGTGCATTCTCAGACATATCTTATGCCTATATCAGAATAGGCGGAAAGAGCACTGCAGAGACGCTGCTTTCTGCGCATTTAGTTTTTTAGTTTTTTTCCTGCATGAAATACGAGTATAATAGGGAAGTGTACACGGAGTACGTAAGCGTAATGGAGGCCAGCGGAATAGAAGTTCCGGATGAGCTTGAGGGTGTGTACAAGAGGTACATAAAGGCACAGATGGAAGAAATCCCATACACAGACAACTCCATTCTAAGGATGTACACGCTTGTTTTCTTCCTTAAGTACGTTAAGCAGATGCAGGGCGCAGTCAAGTTCAAAAGCATATACTCCAAGCTGGAAATGCAGAAAAAGCTGATCACAAGAGCGATGGAGACAGTTGACATCGACTTTGGGCTGGAGAGAACAAACTTCACGCTTGTAGAGGACTGGTCCTCTCTGTACAGCATAAACAAAAAGGGCGGATGCTCTGTAGTGAACTTGTCAAACACGCCTCCGAGCGCATGAGTGCGCGCCTGCTCGGAAAAGACTCTCTGGGCATTTATGTATAGAGGCGCAAATAGCAGCTGGAGAATAAATATAAATATAAATATATTGTGTTCTCCTACGGCACTGGCCCACAGAAGGGCTTACTTTTTCTTGCTTTTTTTGACCATCTTCTTGAGCTTGCACTCGGACTCTGTGTGGGTTCCGGTAGGATGCAGTATGCACGTCTTGCCTCTTTGTGCTTTCTGCAGGTATACCGTCTGCCTCTCTATTTCTGCATACACTTTTTTCGCCGCAGCTTCTCTTTCATTCCGGGCCTTCTCGCGTAAAAGCGCTTCGTGGCTCTTCAGCGTAGAGTACATTTCTTGGAGGGGGCCTTTTTGCTGCCGCATGCAGGAGAGCATTTTCTTGTTTTCAGAGAGCAGCCCGTTGTAGAAAAACTCTCTGCTAAACGCCTCTACCTCCTCCAGTGTGGCTGGTGGGGTGCTGTATATGACCGATGCTATTTCCAGCGGGGATATCAGCTCTGCGCATCTTTTTGCGTATTCTGCTATGCCTGGGAAGTTTTCCTGCTTCACCCGTGACAGCTTGGCTCGGCACTCATCGTGTTTTGACTTCAGGACTTCTTCCGTGATGATGTAGGCCGCCGCCTGAGGGAGAGAAAAGTCTTTGAGCGCTTTCTGGTATGCCTTCGGCATCTGCAGAAGAATTCTTCGTTTTGCTTCTTCCAGCGGCACGCCCTTGTCCATGCACTCCCGCATGGCTTGGTCAAGCTGCTTGATCGTGCTCTTTTTTCCCTGCTCGCCTGGACTGCCCCAAAGCTGCCTGCTTATCCGCGTGCACGGCTCAACTATTTCAGCGTATACCTGAAAGACATCCCCGAATACGGCGTGCCCCTCCACGCCAGCAGATATGAGAGAAAAAACGTATTTCTCTCTTATAGCACGCCCCTGGGGGCTTTTCCCTTGCTCTCCTGTGTTTTGCGAGGGAAGCTCTGCCCATGCGCAGCCGTCTCCGTTCATAGCGTGCATGCTCATTCGAAAAACAAAGTGTATTTACAATTAGTAAATTTTTAATACTTACGCGTTTATTATGCAGTGCCTTATGCCTCGACAGAAACAAAAGTTCAGAAGACGCATATTTTTCCAATTGAGTGTGCAGAAGCTGGGGTCTGCAAAAACATAGGCTAGCAAACCTGCTTTTATTTATTCGTCGAAAATATTGAATATCTTCAGCGACTTCCCCTCTGCGGTGAACAGCCTCTTCCCAGATATCTTCATATCAGCCACAGGAGCTGCCAAATCAATTCTGTGGGTTCCCATGTAGGTCTCTCTGTCTCTTAGCAGTATGCTGTTCTTGTTGGAGTACCCGAAAAAGACACTTCCGCCCTCTATTCGGGATATGAAGTCCACGTCCGACTTGTACTCTTTCTGAACGCCCTCCATATTGCAGATGTATATCATCCCTCCTAGGCCGCCTGCATATATTACTCCCTCGTCATATCCGGCCGCAGTGATGGGGGTGGCCAGCTTATACGAGTGCATCTCGAACTGCTCGCCCTTGTATACTTCTATGCACCCGCTTGAGATGGCACATATCAGCATGGGCTCGCCCTCCGAGGACCGCATTATCAGCTTTCCAATTTCCCCGGATGCCTTGACCTTCTTTACCTCTTCGTTCTTTTTTAGTATTACAATTTCGTCGGTGATTAGCCCTATGGCCAAGTACTCGCCGGAATTGCTTATGGTCCTTATGGGCGTGTCGCACTCGTACACAATGTCGCCCTTGCACACGTCTACCACCTTGTTTGTGGTTGTCAGCACGTATATGCCGTCCTCCGTGGAGGTAACTGCCCGGATGGGCTTGAACGAGTTGAAGGTCATCACGGGCTCCATCCCCAGCGAGAGCGAATACTCCTTTGTTTCCCCCGTGGACGTGCATATTATAATTGTGTCCATGTGAATTTCTGGGTGCCTTCGTATGGAGATTGCTGTGATTTGCGAGTCTACTTCTATCTTGGCAGTCTCGGAAAGAATCTTTGTGACTGCAATGAAGTCTATCTGCAGGGTCTCTTCGTTTTCGCAGGCAGGAACTTTTTCTATTTGCTCGCCATTATGGAAGAAGGCGTAGGACTTGTCGTGTGCCAGGAAAGTGTTGAGAAACTGCTCCATCTGCGCCGAGGTGAAGTCATCAGGAACCTGCATTGGAGGCGTGACAAACTCTTTGTCTTTTATATTTCGGAATGTAACTATTACTTCTGCCATGTCTAGGGGAGAAAAAATGCTGCATAAAAACAGGAAAGTGACCAATAGACAGAAGAGCCACCAAAAGAGCGCAGGCGCTGCACAGGTCAAGCCTGCTGCCCTGCAGGCATGTAGTGCTCTCTCCTAAACTTTCATCTGCCAAAATACACACCCCCATGCAAAAAATCACATTTCTGTGTGCATATGATTCTTACGTCTATGCAAAACAAAAAGTACACAGAATGCGTGTCAGACCATTTGTTTATAGGCAAAGCAATATATCCCAATTGATACTTTTTGCGAAATAGGATGTATTTATGCTATAAGTATTGTTTTTTTTTCATCAACCAATGAGCTCCTGCTGTACTTTTGCAAAAATGCTCCTTGGGGCACTACTAATGGGAAATCTGTGCAGTTGCTCTATAAGCCACGAAAAAGAAGACAAATACAGCATCCAAGCCAAACTGGCCAGAGAATTTCGGGAATATCTCACAGAAAGCATAAACACGTCAAAATCTTCTCTTGTAGCATCACAATTTGTGATGAAGACATTGGAGAAAGCTCCAGCAATTACGCACGTGCAGGAAAACAGCGAGGGCACGCGCAGAAACGTGCTCTGCGTTGATTTGGGTGGCACCAGCCTGAAAATGGGAATTTATCAAATAGGATCAGACGGACAGACACCTGTAAAGCAGACAGAGGACTTTATTGTGCCAATACCAAAAACAGCCAAGGAAATAGGAGACAGAACCATCTATGAGTTCATGAGCGAGCAAGTCAACCAGTTTGTGCGGAGCCGAAGAACAGACACAGGCGATGCTGCGCTACTTATGGAGGGAGCGCTTACGTTCTCGTACCCCTTGGAGAGCCACGACGGAAAGATGAAAGTGGTTAAGTTCACAAAGAAGTTTGGCTGGAAAAGGGTCGAGACAGAGCACGAAATTCCTTTGGACGAGCTAAACAAGATGACGTCAGACACGGTTGCTTTCCGGGTGATTCTGAATGACACTACAGCGCTTGGGGCGTGGGCTGGGATTACGCACGAGAACGCAATAGGAGGGTTTGTTCTGGGGACTGGCATGAACTGCTCGTACCTGGAAAGTTCCCCAGAGGCCATACGAATCTTCAACACTGAGTGCGGCTCGTTCAACTTCACGGGAATCGACGCGCTGACAGACAGCATTGACGCAGAGATGGCAAATAACTCCCCGGAGCAGGAGAGGAACGTATACTTGCTGGAGAAAATGGTTGGCGGCCTGTACTTTGAAGAGTACATCAACCTGTGCATTGAAAAAAGCATAGAAGAAACCACTGCCAGGAAGATAAAGTGCGTTATAGGCGAGCCCAACGAGCAGTCTGCCCACACAAAAAAGAGCTTTGTAGTGAAAAACCACAGGCTATCGCCCGAGGAGATAGAAGAGGATCTGATAGAGTTCTTCAGAAGTGAGCATCCAGACCACATAGACATACTCGACAGTGTAATTCGCATGTCGCATTCTATCGTGGAAAAAACAACCGACCGCAAGCACAAAGTCTGCGCTGCCCTTTTGGCTGGGATGATTTCCAAGTCCAGGGCGCAAACGGGCAGAAACTCGTTTGTGTTCGGCCTGACAGGGTCTGGCTGCAAGGGGGCGGAGTTCCAGCGTGCAGTTAAAGGGTACATCGCATCCATACTGAAAGAGATAGACGAAGACGCATCAGGCGAAGCATCTGTAGAGTTTGAGTTCTCGGAAGAAGCTTCCCTGCTGGGCGGAGCATGTGCATATGCCAGGAACTGTCCACGCTCCCAGCCGTGAAAGAGTTGAGTTTTTGGGATTTTTGGTTTAATGATATTTTCAATAAAGACACTTGGTATTTGCTTTCCAGAGAGGACAGGCAGAGCGCGGATTTTCGGATTTGGCAGAAAGACAAAGTATAGGCCCCATTGCAAACAGCAGCCCAGCCAAACAAAGAAAACACTTTCCGGGCATTTATATTCACATTTTCAATGATCTTTGCTTCAGTAGCGCAAGCCAGCCTGCACCTTCAGAAACAGCCAGACAGTTGCCAGATGAAAAGCGTAAATACACGCGTTTTATTTTATTCAGGTTATGTGCAGGAAACTGCAAGCACAAGAAAAGTGGTCCTGCTCAGATAATAAGGTGCTGCAGAACATACAAAGGAGGCACTCAAACTCACTGCTCGGATGGCTTGCACTTTGGGCACAGCCAGTGCCCGCGCGGAGTGCCTGTAAGGCCTACACAGCCCATGTGGTACCAAGGTACTTCCATGTGGAAGGCATCGCACGCCACCATATCCCCGTAGGCAGGCCCGTTGCAGATGCAGTACCTTTTTTCCGACTCCTCGGCGCTTTTCGCAGGGTTGCTTTTGTTGGTTTTGAACACGCGGGGATTCTGCGTCTGTATTCCAAATTTTGGCTCGTACGGGGACTCCAGCAGGAGAAGCTGCTGGTCGACCGAAGAAAGCGTGGAGTTTATATCTGCAAGAAGCCTCTTGGAAATGGTGACTCTTTTGTCAAGCATCTCCTTGTAGTCGGCATATGCCTTCCCTATGTTTTCCTCGCTCTCTGACATTTTTGTGTACTCAATCCCAGCCGAGAGAAAAGTCCGCCGCAAGCCTTGTGACTCGTCGTATAGACCCTTCAGAGAGCACACGGCCTTATTGTACTCCTGCATGAGGTTCTGCAATTCGTCGGATATCTTGTCCAGCGCTGTCTGCGGCAATTTTCCGTCCATATTTATTCACTAAATTTTTTGACACCATGGAAGAATATATAGGAGCTTGCCTTATTATAAGAACAAAGACGGACACGCATGTAGGCAGGCTGCAGCACATAGAGCCAGAGAACAACAAAATGGTGGTGGAGATATCTGGCACGCTGGCAGAAATAAACCTAGATGATATAAATGATGTCGAGCTGCTGGCAGAGGAAGATAGCATTCTTATGAGCAAAACCAAAAAAGAAGAGAAAAAGGTCCCGTCTACCTATATAACATACGACCTGTACAAAAAAATAGTGGAAATATCGGACTCTATGTACGGGCCCAGCAGGCGAGAAATAGCATACTCTGGGGCCAGGGGCGTGCTCCACCTGCTCGTGAACATATTCAGGCTTATGGACAAGCGGTTTGTCATATACACAGGGTCCGGGCTTTTCTCAGAAATTGGGGTGATTCTGGCGAGGCTGTGCCTCCTGTATGGGTCGGATGTGGTTCTGGTGCCTTCTGAAAAGACGCAGAGCATAGCTAGGGAGCTGTTCTACTACGAAAGAAACAACGGAGTCATATCAAACAAAAGAACCGAGCAGCCTGTTGTGATAATAGCAGACACAGAGGCCCGGGAAGAAATGGTGTCTGGCGCCGAGAGGGTCATATTTCTGGGGGACTACCAGAACATATCAGGGCAAAACATGGAAGCTATATTCTTTGGAGTGCCTGTGCAGGACCCATACGAGTTCGCTGGAAACTCCATACTTTGCGACGTGGGGCTGTCGCCAAAGGTCTTCAGCAAATACAACATCAGAAAGTACGCGCCAAAGCTGCTGCAGAAAATAGCGAAACAGTAGCACACCCCAGGACGAAAAGTGGCTGGACTGCAGCACGTGGAAAGTGGAGGCAGGGCCTGTGCTGGGCAGGAGTGGGTGCTGTGGATGCTTCGTGCTGTGTGAATTTAATAAATAGTTTGTTTGTACGATGCCTCGAGCAGAAATATGCGGAATATTTTTTTATTCATGAAAACTCAAAGCATAGCAGAGACGCTGAAAAGGGCTGAGGCTCTTCAGAAGGAAAAAGAGTCGGAAAACAACTGGAGCAAGATGGACTCGGCTCTGGAGGCACTCTCCAGTGTGAAAAAGAAGGAGGACGCGCAAAAGATGGTAAAAATACTGCCCTTGATGTGCACAGCTATACAAAGTAACAGAAGCAAGCTGAGCGGAACGGGGTGCAAGTGCATGATAAACCTCTTTGAGCTTATGGGGGAGGCCCTGCACGAGAACCTTCCCTCTATTTTCCCCAGCCTAGTGAGCGCCCTCGGAAAAACCAACCGGGTTATATTTACGCGGGCACTGAACACGGCCAGCACAATCGCGGAGAAGTGCTCTGTCAAAAGCATAGCTCGGCACATCCGCATGGGCATAGGGAGCCACAGCAAGACGGTTCGCCAGGGGCTTTTGGAGATGGCCATCCGGGGGGTTGAAAGAGAAAGAATAAAAGAGCTTGTCGAAGTACTTGAAATATCAGTGGAAGATATAAACCCAGAGGTAAGATATCGGGCGAAGGAGGGGATGGCGCTTATATCAGAGATGGACAGAAAGGCCATAGCAAAGGCAACGAACAAGATGGCCGAACAGAGCAGGGCTAGAGAGGAGAAAACTGAAGAGGAGAAAAATGAAGAAAAAATCACCCCGAGCGTGCTCTCAACAGTGGAGGTGTCGCCAAACCCGGGGAAGCTTCTGCTCAAGTCCTCTGGCGCAAACGTGATTGTGCGTGGCCCCATACGCTCGTTTGCCACGGCAATTCAGATGGAAAGAAGCCCGAGCAGCATGCTGAAGCCGGGGCACTCTCTGGAGAGAATTGGGCTGCGGCTGGAGAAGCACCAGAAGGAGATAGAGGAGGGGCTTAAGAAGGAGTGGACGCCAAGAAAGACCCCCATTGTGAAGAAAAGGCAAAGGCCAAGCATGGGAACCCCAGTTAGCATAAAGAAAACAGGCAGCTATGCAAGCGCATGCGAGAACCAGGGAGAAGAAAACCACGACTCTTTCAATGTCTCCGAGGAGATAGGAAATCTGTCTATATCCAGAACAGAAGAGACAGAGCATATTGTAGAAAACAAGGAAATGCATGACAGTATATTCAGCAGCAAGGAGATGCGCGGGACGAGGGGATTTATAGAATCGTGTGAAGCTGCAGCAGAGGCGAGCGACTCGGAGTACTCTATTTTGGCGCCAGACGTTCTTATTAAAAGATCAACCACGAAGAAGATATAGAAAGGCGTGCTTGCTTAGAGGGAGATAGGAAGCTCTTGCGCAATAAATAAATACTCCACATGGTTTGATGCAACTTACAATGAAAGCAGAGGCGGCGGAACTGCAGCCCGGAGAGGGTGGAGTTAGCAGCGGTGGCTGGGCTCAGCAGAGGCGGCACAAAAACAAGACGCAAATACTGCATAGCGAAACTTCGCTTTATTAATTCCCTGCTGTGCGCATGCTAGCCAGACTCTGGTTGTTTGAAGGCGCTAGGAAATGTCCGGGCGCCCCCACGCTGATGAGGGCTTGCTTTTCTTGTCCCGCAGCTCGGTTCGAGACAGCTTGAAAATGCTCTGGAAGGGAGTTCCGTGCAGAAGGCCCCTCTTTTGCTGCATGAACGTCACATGCACTTGGTTCATTTCCTGCGAAGTAAGCGTGTTTGCCATCTCCTGCTCTACCTCGCCCTTCAGATACCTGTATATTAGCTCGTACAGGTTGTTGCATATTGGGCCCTTCTCCTGCTCGCCCACTCTTTTGATCACTTCGACCGCGGTTAGCTTTTCTTGCTCTGCGCTGGAGCCCTCCTCCCTGCACACTAAGGCCTTTCTTGCCGGCGGCCTGTGTATATCGGCGACTGTTTCCTCCTCGCTTACATCTCCTGCAGCCATGCACGGGGCCTCGGCTGGAGACTTTTCTTTAGAGTCCAAGGCCATTTTCTGCAGCTGCTCCGTCAGATACGCCACCTTCTGGACTAGGTCGTGGATGATTTCATCCTTAGACTTTACCACGGGCCTTTCAGACGTTTTTATTCGCTTCAGCCTTTCAGCAAACTTTATTGTCAGATGGTCGGACAGGTCAATCACAGTGCACATGCATACTATTGTCCCATAGCTCAGCGTGTTCTGCAGAATTCTTGTCAGCTTTGACTCCCTGTACGAGACATGCAGGGTGTCCGTGTGCAGCTGGTCTATTACCTTTCCTAGGGTCAAAAGGCTTTTGTTTATCATCATGCCCTCCTTCCGCCTGTCTATGTTTTCTGCCATTTTTTCATTCCCTGCAAGATCCACAAGGTTGATGGCCAGGTCAACTGCGTTCACTTCTATTACAGTGTGGCTTCTGCTGCTTTCCATGTTGTGCTCTGTTTCAGAGGTCTTCCTTTTTTTGCGAATTGTGTCCAGCATCTCCACAATCTCATCGTGCGACTTTATTGTTATCTGGGTTTCGCTAATTATTCTGGTCGCATTGCTCTCCTGCACGATCCTAATAGGCGTTCCTGTGAAAAGGTCCGTGGCCACTTCGTTGTATATTTCTATGCACCGAACAGAAAGAACCTTGTGCGCGTCCAAGGCATCTATCAGTATAAGCTCTGCAATTCCTGGCATGCACTTGTCGCCAAACATTGTGTAGGTTTTCCCGCTGCCCGTTCTCCCGTATGTGAATATCGTGGAAAACGCTATGCTGGCCGTGTGCTTTTTCACAAACTCGTTGTATATCTGTGTGTTCGTATGGTGGCTGAACACCTCGTCTGCGTGCGGGCATGGCGCATCTACAACGCCTGGCGGCTTTACTCGCATTGCTACCATAACTCTGTGGTTCCCCTCCATGCCCAGCACAATGCACGCGAATTTATTCTCTTAGTCAAGCTTGTTCGTGCATTCTGAAACGCAGACCAGCGAAAAGCTCCAAACAAATAGACCAGTAACGTATGCATGCCCAAACAGGCCGCGCTGGGCCTGTCCGAAAGAATGCTTTCATTTTCTCCTCTTGCATGCTAACCGCAAGCATTGAGAAGCCCCCGAAAGCACGGGCGTGCTGCTTTCCGTTGCCCAAAGAGCTGCATGCACGCCTAATTTCTCTATTTGAAGCTAGCCCACTCCCAGCGCAGATGTTCGCCTGAAACACTTTCCTGCAGACAAAGCGCAACAATTTCCAAGAACTGGCCGCAAATTGCAATTTAGCGGCTTTTAATGTGCGTTTGTTTGGAAAAGTTTTCTTTTGATCTCGCGCGTGCAGTGATTGCTAATTTATGCGCAAAACAACAGAAAAAATTGTTATTTCATGCATATGTTTTCATTATGTTGAGTTTTTTAATTTGCTTAAAGTAATAACGTGTTTTGAGTTTATATGCAATTACGCCAAATATTGAAGTAATTTCTGCATTAATAGTGATTATTTCATGCTTAAATAGAACTGTGGCGCGGCGCTTAATATGAATACAGATAGTATACCAGCAGTTAAAGTGGTGGTGCTATGGGACGAGTACTGGAAGGCGCTGAAAGCGTTTATGCCAAAGAACTGGCATGGCATGCAGCAGAGCCAGAGAATGGATGCATACTTCAAAATAGCCCCGCTAGTGACTATTAGAGTAGACGACCCAGAATTCGCGATGTTTTCTGCGTTTGACACGATCAAGGACGCGTTGCTGCATGCAAACATGCGAAACAACATATTGGCCTTCCTGGAGCCCGATCTTGAAATGTTTAAGAAGCTGCAGACAGACCTTTCGGTAGTAGAGTCCGCCAAAATAGAAGCTTGGGACGTTTTAACCAACCTAAAACTCAAATCACCCACACAGCCAGATACCATTCCAGAAGACGGCGAGGCATTCAGTCTGATTAAAGAACACGCATATCCTGCAGAAGCTTGTGTGGAAGACCTGGAAAAAACATATGAATGCATGCAAGAAGCCTTTAGGCAAGTGCAGGATACTAACCAGCAAAGCCTTATGCTGCAGGAGACCCATAATCGAATGAGCATTCTACAAGAGACTGACGTGAAGAGCAAAAACTTGCAAAAAACTGAGGAGCAGCCGCTCAGCCATGCCGACCAGGAAAATCGCCTTCAGTCTCACAAAATAATAATAGACGGCATTTCAGACCTTCTAAACAAGCTGTACTTCAACATAAAACAGCAAGAAACGGAAGCCCAAAGAGAAGAATACTGCAATTTTTTGAATACCATTTCACACTATATGAAAACAATTATGCAGTGCGACTCTGTGAATTTCCTTATAAACATAAAAGCTGAAAAGCCCGATTCAACCCTGGGAAAGCACTTTATCTGCCGGACAAATGAATATTTGAGCTGTCTTAGATACTCTCTTGTTGAATTCAACGACCTCAGCGATGAGTATATGGAAACAATGGACGCTATCCACAAGAAACTTCCAAATGTTATTTCCATTCTCCATGAAATAGAAAAAAAACACTATGGTGAGCAGATGACGATGACCATGGTCAAAAGGCTAGAAAAAATCAAAAAAGCACTCGAAGATGCTATAGAGGAGAAGACCAGCGAGATTCAGAACAGCCCCACCGAAAAGGAAGCCAATGAGACAGAAAAGTGTTTGAAAAAGCTCAACCTAGCAATCCAAAACGTCAAGCACGCGCTGGGCTTGGCCAAATGCTCTTCCAATATAGCTTCTGATCTAGCAAACAAGCAATCTAAGAATCTTTCACTAGACCCGTATACTGTGGTGTCCCTTGCCAGAAGAGCAGAAATTCTGGTAAGCAAAGAAATACAGGGGCTGATAGAGCCCATTGAAGAAATTCCCTGGTCCTACTCAGAAGAAACCATATGTGATAGGATTTCCAAAGAGCTGCGAAAAATGTGCATAGACACGCAAGTGTTTTCGTATATGCTTGCATCTCCTGTAGAGATCAATGAATGGAGGGGGGCGCTTCTAAACAATGTGTACTCGATGCTGTCAATCAAGCAGCTCGAGAAAGACTTTAAGCTATACCTAATCCGCATAGCCCCTGCCATGTCGCTGTTTGAAAACACCAGTGTAGTTAGGGAGGCAGCCGACTACATGCAGAATGCTTTGCGGATTCAGGGCAAAAACAACTGCGAAATGGAATTTATCAAGAGTTTTAGACCGCGCAATAACACCCTGTACAACACCCAGACAGGAATGAACAGACCGCCCAGGCTATGCGGCTCCTTGGACATGATTACGCCGAAATCTAGAGTTGGGTTTTGCCGTGTGGATATTTTTTCACCGAGCGACGATGATGTTAAGGGAAAATGCGAGTGGGTTAGAAAAACCATAGTTGTTTTGGCGTGTGTGATTTTCATAGCATTTTTGACTTTTCTGGCTGTGTCTTTACACATCTCAGAGTCTAGAAAAGGGCAGAGCAGCTCCATAAGATCGAAGTAGAAAAACACCAGGGCGTGCTGCATACTCCTTGCATTTAGAGAAAATAAAAACACCGTATGAACTTGCTTCTAACATGTAGCCCGAGCTTTTGTCAGAACCTGCTGCATTCTCTGCCTATGCGCGTCTTTGCCTTTGGGCAGCTGGTTTTCGTTGGGCTTTCGCGCGTGGAGGCGCTGGGAATGCCTGCATGCTCAGCCAGGGCAAATTCTGGGCCTTTTCAGTGCAGCAGGCACACACAAAGGGCAAAAACATGCACATTTTTTGTGAAAAATACAGCATCAAAGCGTGCATTTGGTGCTTCCTTTGCCTGTGCATTCGCAGAATATGCACACTTTTCTGGCTGCACGAACTTTTGTAGGGCTGTGCCTTCTATCGTATGGCTTAGCCTTGATATTAATATTTTTATTTCTTTCTTTTCATGTGCGCAATGCATGTTAAGATGATAAAGGAGTCTGAGAATATTTCAAACGAGGACGAAACACCCGTTTTTGTTCACTCTCTGGTTAGGTCCCACAACAAAGGGAAGCTTCTTGACAAAATGAAAGGGTGCTCTACGCTGCACGATGCTCTTTCTATAGCCTCTGTCGAGCATGGCGACTTGAACTTTCTTGGCGTAATAAACAATCAGGAGAAAATCGAGTATGTTACGTACAGAGAAGGATGGAACTATGCAAAGAGCATTGCACAGTTCATCCTCATGCATGCTGATCTTTCCGAGGACAAATTGCCAATTGTTGGGATATGCTCTGAGAATCGGCCAGAGTGGGTTATAACAGAGCATGCGACGTACTTCTACAGCGGGATAAACTGCCCCATCTACGCGTCTTTCGGATGGAGTGCCACAAAGCACATTATCAAGGAAACCGGAATGAACATTATTTTTATCTCTCGCAAGAATGCAGAAAAGATAGCGGCCAGCCTAGAGAAAGAGGAGCAGGACATTGTGCTCCCCAAAATATTTGTTCTGATGGACTCAGACATATCGGAAACTGCGTTTTCTGTGCTTGGCAAATTTGAGGTAAAAATGTACTATTTCTGGGACATTGTGAAGAGGTGCAAAAAGGCCAGCGAGAGCGGGAAAAGTGCGCCAGAGGAAATGCCGCTGTCGAGCAAGTTCGTGAAGGCGCCTGCCTTGAAGAATGAGGTTGTGCAGAAGTTTGTGCCTCCTACCCAAACCACCATAGCCACAATTTGCTATACCAGTGGAACCACCGGGGCCCCAAAGGGCGCTATGCTCATGCACAAAAACTTCATTTCGGTGGTGGCGTCCTTTATCCTTCTGTCAGAAAAGGGGGTGTTCTTCGACATCAAGCCAGGAAACAGGTATTTGTCGTTTCTTCCGCTGGCCCATGTGTTTGAGCGAATTGTGGAGTCGGCTCTTCTTATTAGCAAGTGCGAAATCGTGTACTACAGAGGAAACCCGAAGCAGCTGCAGAATGACTTCAGAATATCCAGGCCGCACTATTTTGTGGGTGTCCCCAGAGTGTTCAACTCTGTCAAAGGCGCGATTGAGGGGAAAGTGCGGGAGAAGAGCAAGCTGGCGCAGTGGATATTTGCATTTGCTCTGTCCGTGTGCATAATGTGTAAAAATAGAGTTGTCCGAGGAATATTTGGGAAAACTGTATTTAGACAGATCAGAGAAACATTTGGCGGAAATGTTATAAGCATGTTGTCGGGATCAGCTCCGCTGTCACCGTCAACTGCGGTCTTTTTCGAGGCTATTTTTAACTGCCCATTCTTTGAAGGATACGGGCAAACAGAAACCGCAGCAGGGAATATAACCACAGACGTGTTTACCTTGGAGAAGGGGGTTATCGGGGTTCCCTTCCCATGCAACAAAGTGAAGCTGGCGTCCTGCCCAGAAGTCAACGCGCTGGCAAAAGACATGCGCGGAGAAATCCTTATGCAGGGGCACTCGGTGTTCTATGGATACTATAAACAAGAGGCTTTGACAAAGGAGTGCTTTTATCGGCCGGATGGAGAAAGCATATACAATGAGGACGGGGAAAAGTGGATTCGAACCGGAGATGTTGGAGAGGTTACAAAGGAGGGCAATCTGCGCATAATTGGAAGGTGCAAGGAGATATTTAAGCTTTCCCAAGGAGAGTATATCATACCGGAGAAAATTGAGAATCTTATTTTGTCGAAGAAAATCGAAGGGCTAGAAGACATTACGATTGTTGGTGACAGCTCGCGCGATTATGTAATAGGGATATGCACTGTGTCAAACCAGGAGAAATGCAAGGATATCGAAAGTGAGGCTGCCTGCGTGGGAAATAAGCTTGTTACAGCAGGGGAGCTAATCAAGATAGAGCTTCCGAGGAGGCTTATATTCACAGAAGACGCATTCACCATTGACAATGGGCTTCTAACCCCCTCCGGAAAGAAAATACGCAAAAAAATAGTTGCGCTGTACAGCAAAAAGATACAGAGCATATACAAAAAGGGATAGAAATACTCGGCCAGCATCGGGCCTTTACAAGCTTTAGAAGTAGCAGGTGCATGGCGGTTCTTTTGAACATGTTTAGTCTAATAAACATGCCGTTTTCTTAGTTTTTGCTCTTTCGGGCTATTGCAGCACCACCAAGTGGATGCCGGAGCGCCTGCCCTGTGCTTCTATGAAGGCCTGGGCTTTTTCTGTCTCTTTTTGTTGCATAAAGCCCCAAGCGTCCTAGGTGTTTATAGCTTGGCTTGCTGCATTTTGGCCCGGGCATGCGGTTCTGGCTATGGAATGTGCATAGTGCGCCTTTGACAAAAGTCTGGCTTTTTGTGGATTCGGGGTGTCCCGGGCTTGTCCTGTAGTTTGAGCAGCTTGCACAACACGAAGCACTAGAGCACAGCTGAGCATATATATGTGCAGAGGCATGTATGCAGAGTATTTCTCAGGCAGGCAAGGAAAAAGAGTTTTAAGCGTAACAACAGGCTTATTTGGTCATGCTTTGGCGCATGTGTAGAAATTCTTCTTTGCAAATTTTATATGCATATACATCCATCCTGT